TGTATGTGTGTGGTAATGTGATATGGTAACTGGAACTGATGACTGTACGTACGTGCGTACGTATTAAGTCCTACGTTGTTTCTGACTGACTGACTGACTAGTTGAACAGACTGTATATATTCCACGTTCAATTCAGTATTGAATAGTATTGAAGCTGAAAGAAAACTGTCAGTCACTATTTTCTAATTTTCAATAGTTTTCTTTACTAATATCACATTAATGACAAAAGAAAACATTATTCTCTAACAGAGAAAATAATGATTGAAATTCATGTAGTGCATTCCGTGTAATCATCAGTCAATTGAAGAAGGACCACCATGGAGAACCTGGAAGAACTGGACGGCCGTCTCGTCCTAGTATGGGACTCCTCAGCAGTGCGCACTACGGCAGCGCCCCTCGCGAGATTCGAACCCAGGACCTATCAGTCTCCCACCAGGCAGTTAACTAACTAGACCACTGAGATGGCCGGCATCCAACGGTGTTAATGTCTAACCTCAACCAATCTCCGAAGTTGCGCCACCGTACACCATTGTCTTCAGTGAGTTGATATCTCATTGCTTACATCGTATGATACTTAAACATCATAATTACATAATGGGTATAAATGGCTCATATGAGATGGTTTAGTTGGAAGTTATACTGAAGACATATTAGTATAGTATAGTAAGAGTGTAAAAGTGTTTAAAAATACTCAATATTGTAAATATATATACCTCATGTAAAAGAATATTCTACAACATTGATTGTAACGAAAGTTCAAAGGGTCAAAATCAAGTGATTACATAATGAGTAAATGCTAATAAGAAACTGATGAGTAAAGCTCAGTTAATAAAACAAAATTGCTTCCGGGTTTCACATGATGGTCTAGCTTCAATTAATTCATGAATTCAACCATTAAATTACTATAATATCCACAAAATCCTTCTCTGATTATAATGCTCATATGCTCATAAGTGATGGTCTCCAATAGGTATTTCCTGAAGTTCTAGAGTGAGAAGCAGTGACCAGTGCAGTTCAACCAGGTCTGTTGTGAGATAGTAACTCACTGATGACAATGGTGGACAGTGGCTCAACTTCGTGGATTAGTTGAAGTTAGACATTAACACCGTTGGACGCCGGCCATCTCAATGGTCTAGTGGTTAGGCATTCATGCGCAAAACAGACAGGTCCTAGGTTTGAATCTCGTGAGGCGGGATCAAGGATGCGCAACGCTGAGGAGTCCCACAATAGGACGAAATGGTCATCTAGTGCTTCCAGGTTTTCTATGATGATCTAGCTTCAATTGACTCATGATCTCAACCAATGAAATTACTATAATATTCACAAAAATCCCTTCTAAAAAACTAAGTTATTAGATTTTGAGACGTTTCATGACTTAGTGTAAACCACTTCATATAATAACCAAATCTAGTTTAAATAGTACAAAAGAACAACGTAAGAATATTATGTACGATCAATTAAAAGAACAGGTTTGAACAAGTCAATGTCATATCATTTCAGTCAATGTGATTAATATGCGACATGTTTGTATATTTGTAAGTATGTATGTATAGTAAAGACGGCCTATGCTCCTTCACGAGGAGTAACAGGCGTAAGTAAGTAAGTATGTGTAGTAAAGAATGAAAAAATGTGAGCTTTTTAGGGAGAATGGATAGAGTTTAATTTGTATGTACGATAACGGTGTGAATGATGGATAGAATCAAACATGGTAACTCGAAGAGATGGTTCACGTCGAATATATAGTGAAGTCTTCTTTTCCATTGAGGGTAGTAGGGTTAATCAATATATGAAAGGCTTCAGCTACTCACTTTTCTTTGTAGTTGGAAAAGCCGTTTTGTGTTATTTCGATGTTTTTAATATCGATTTGATGGTTATTAAAAATAGCATAAACTGCTATTACCGATTTAAATTGGAGTATTTTTAGTAATACAGGATTATTAGGCGGTTTGGTTGAGTACTTAAGATGCTCTTCGGCTTGAGTAAAGATTTCTCTGAAGAAGTGACTTGCATTGGCTTATACATAACAAGTGTGAAATGAATGTCAAATAATAAGATTTTGATAATGCGCTCTCTAGGCAATGGATAAATCAGAGAAATTTAGCGATAAAACAATGTATTAGTCAGTATAGGGGTTGTGGAGATTATTAAGTTTCTGATTGAGATCATGAACTGATTGATGTTAGACCACCGTTGGAAACCTGGAAGCACTGAATGACCGTTTCGTCCTATTGTGGGACTCCTCAGTGGCAGTGCGTATCCACGATCCCGCTCGCGAGATTCGAACCCAGGGCCTTCGGTCTCGCGTGCGAACGCTTAATTTCTAGACCAGTGAGATGGCCGGCATCCAGTGATGTTAATGTCTAACCTCAACCAATCCACGAAATTGTGCGAACATCTTCGATTGTACTGAGGTAGATACCTGTCTCTACCCGAAATGGATTAGCTCCACTGGTCACGGCCTTTCACTAGAACTCCGAGAATTCCCTCACGAAGCTAGCCACTAGTGAGCATATGTTAATTATCAGTATAGGGGTTGTGGAGCTTTGTATTTGTGACAAATATAAACAGATATGGACAAATTAAATATTTTTATTGAATAAAATATTATAGTATCACATGACATGACATTTATCAATCACCATTTACTCCATACTATAGGTTGGAATAAAATATAGTTTCATAACATGATACTAAGCTTTCTGAGCACACTTTCAAGTGATCTGCACTGCCCTCGTGAAAAACTTGAAATTTTGTTTAAATTGTTAACCTACTAACAAATTTTAAAGTAGTGTGAAGATACACAAAAAAGTATTCAATGAAGTAAACTATAGTTCAAGTTGACTATAATTTATGGACGACCATTGAGCCACGCCAGAGACCATGAGAGTGTCCACCTAATAATCAGGGCCAAGTGAGGATTATGATTTACAGTTGATGGTTAGGCTAGGGTTTTCATCACGAACTGACATCAGCTATAATGACAAAACTCTATTTATCTAAATGGATGTGTGAATTTTGCGCCAAAATTCGAGGTCTGTTATCTTATAACTGATTGGTTCGCTCATAAATTATAGTTTCGCCAATAGCGGTAAATTTTTATCAGAATGGGGTTTGTGGAGACTGTAGTAATTTTAATAGCTGAATTCATAAGTCGATGTAAGCTACCATCCAAGGCTTCCAGGTTTACCATGATGATCTAGCTTACAATGACTCATTAATTCAACTATTAAGACGATAAATTCATCAGAATTTGGGTCAGTATCTTATAGTACCTATTTCAACCTCAGTTAGTATGGGATATATTGTAAAACCCAAAATTTCAGGTTTCAGTAGTTAGAGTATTCATAGAAATATCATACAGAAGGGAGCACCAGTTCCTTCAAGATTACAAGTACACTTTGCTGAAGAGTGCCGAGTAGTACGAAACCCGGGTTCAGGTTTTCTTGTTGACTACCTCAAAACCACCATCTAATCTCATATTGCATGTAATGTCGAGTCGCCTAGACTTGTGGCCACATTGCAACTTGGTCAATAGCATTCGATCTGCACTAAGCAGGACTTGACATACATGACATTGATCACCATTCACTGATCAATCAATTATGATTACAGAAGGGTTTTATGATTGGAAGAAAATACCGTAAAACGATGACTAGTGGAATGTTTCTATTTTGAAATTTTTCGACATACAATACCGCTAATAGTTCCGTTAAACTCAACTTGTTTATGTTTCACCAGAAACCCAAATAGCACGTAAGCGATTATGTCTATCAGTTTACATGTGTGTGCCGAAACACTTAAATAGGGGGAAGCAATCGTAATCTGCAAGTAAGAGTGGTAGAGCACATACCCAAATGACTTCAGAAACAAATGAATTCCAATGGTCAAATAAGATCACAGGATGGATAGACATCTTCCTCCTTTATGAAACATTTCTTTGAAACTGGTCATAAGGTTGATATCAAGTCAGCATTTGCAAAAAAGCCTTCAAGGGTGTATTCCCCCTTCTAACCAAACAAGTTGGTGAAGCCTAGTAAGCCCTTCTGGAAAGAGACAGGCCACATATAAGCACGACACAACTACAAGGTCTATAATAGCTGTTTTTGCAATCGGTTGGAGTTTGCCCTGTAGGGAGCAACTCCGTACATTCCATACAGCACTTTTGTGATTTTTTTGTCATTTTTCGATTCAGAAGTAATTGTGCTGTGATTATTTGTGGGTGTAGGTCCAGCGGGTGACTAATCCGATCTCTACCACCCGAGTTACCGTTCACGTTAGTTCATGGGACTGAGTCCCACACGATGAAAACGTGTCAGTCGAGTTTTGCCTCCCTCAAGGGCGTATACTAAGGTTTATTGGAGCCTTGGCTATATGGAAACGGAAACCTCTGTTATGTGTTCCAAAAAGCAATTTGTTCTTACCTTTAACCTACCCTGGTATTACTGATTTATACTCCTTGAATAACATCTCCAAACCCTAATTTTTCTGATTACTGCTTATACTTTTATTACCTCTATCACTATGGGATTTGAATCGACAATTGTATCGCCGTGTTAATGTGATAGACGTTATTACAGAAATATATTAGTTAAAATAGATACAAACGAAAGTAAGACCACCACCACATATGCTAGTTCATTACGTATGATTAACTGATATGCGTTGGTTGTCTTTGACCTTGACATGGATCGACGATCTATTCGATATTCAATAACCCAACTGCCAGATGATTTGACTAGGGCTCAGTAACAATTCACTGGCCCTACAGACTAATTGTTTTAAATTATCGAATGACCTTGAAAATCGATTATGGTTACCATGGTAACAACAATATCTGTCTAGGTCAAAACAAACAATTGATCTTTTTGTTTCATTCATTCATTTCTTATTTTTACTCACATTGAAGAAGTTGAATAGTGGAAGATTTTCTTTTTTTTCTTGGAACTTATTATTGAACTTCTTGAATAATTTCATGAAATAAAAATAGAATAAATTTTCTTATGGCAAGTAAAAAGTCTCCAAGTAATCTATCTAATCGTAAAACAAAAGAGTAAGTTTCATTGAATGTTTTATATGAATAAATATTTAATTATTTCAATGGTTGAAATCATGAGTCAATAGAAGCTAGGCCACCATGGAAAACCTGGAAACACTGAATGGCCGTTTCGTCCTGGTATGAGACTCCTCAGTAGTGCGTATGCACGATTGTGCCCCATCCACGAGATTCGAACCTAGGACCTATCAGTCTGTTGTGAGGTAGTAACTCACTGAAGACAATGGTGAATGTGTCGCTCAATTTCGTGAGTTAGCTGAAGTTAAAAATTAACACCATTGAATGCCTGCCACCTCAGTGGTCTAGTGGTTAAGTGTTCGCGCGCGAGACCAATAGGTCTGGGTTGGAATCTTGTGAGGCGGGATTGTGGATGCACACTGCTGAGGAGTCCCACAATTGGATGAAATGGCCGTCCAGTGCTTCCAGGTTTTCGATGACGGTTTAGCTTCAATTGATTCATGATTTCAACTATTGAAATTACTAGAATCTCCACAATACCCTTCTGAGAACATTTAATTATTGATTATTGATTGTTAAGTAAATCATTTAATGAATTGGTTATCCTTAATTTATTAAATCAATAATCTATATTATTTACTATTGAAGAATTATACTGTAAATCACCAACGTTGATGATCTATGTTGAATGATTGGAGGTGTACTGGAGTTAGATGAGAATGATGTAATGAACCAGCTAACATCGGAGTCACACCTCACGGTCAGCATCTTACGTTGATTACACCTTCGTCGTATCAAGGTACTATAGAAGCTTTGAAGATTGTACAACACAAAGGACCTTATTACAGAAACATATTAGTTAAAGTAGATAAAAGTGAAAGTAAGACCACCACCGCATGGAACAGTCCGTAGCGTGCGACCAACTGATGAGCGTTGATTGTCATTGATCAACGCGAGGATCGATGATTTGTTTGATATTCAGTGACTCAACTGCCGGATGATTTGACTAGGGCTCAGTGACATTTCACTGGTTCCACAATATAAAGTTAGAGATGATTATGTTATTCAGGAAGGGAAAGAAGTAACTTAATTGTTAAATTCATGAGTTAATTGAAGCTAGACCATTATGGAAAACTTGGAAATACTGGATAACCGTTTTGTTCTAGAATAGGACTCGTCATCAGTGGGCACCAACGATCCCACACACTGGACTCGAACCCATGACCTGTCAGTGCCGCGCACGAGCGCTTAACCACTAGACCACTGAGCTGGCATCCAGTGGTGATAATGTCTAACTTTGACCAATCGTGGGTGCACACTGCTGGGAAGTTCTATGCTGTGACGAAATGGCGGTCCAGTGCTTCCAGGTTCCCCATGGTAGTCTAGCTTTAATTGAAGCATTAAATCACTATAATATCTACAAATTTTTGTTTACCTAATTATTTAAACACATAAGCATTGGTGCATGAAGGTATCAAACAGATATGCGCCAGATAAATCGTTCGATTTCCTTGAGGGCTGGGATACTGTCCGGGTACCCAGACCGAAAAAGGTAGTTTACTTATGGCGCCATACTTGGAGACTTCGACCTTAAGGTTTGATCAACAAGACAGTGCAGAAAACTAAGGAGATACAGTTTCATGATAACCGGTGACCAATAATTGGTTTATACACCATTTGTTCATTCAGGATCCTGGAGCTCATGTACACCATTGATTTGGAATCAGGGTTTACCGATTTCCCAAAGTGTATCCTCCGTGTCCACCAACTCGGTTAAAGCGACGGACATTCTCTTTTTTTCCTCTCAATTTCATAAAGAAAGTTAATGCCACGAGAAGTCAGTGAGTAGGACTTTCCTGACAGTGATTGTATACTCACGGCCATTTAAGAGCATTTCGAGAGGAATAGTTGACTATCCCCACTATCAACCGTATCATGGCATTTGGGAACTACATATTTTTCTACGAATATTGACTAATTACCAACTTTACATTTGACATAATTAAAACCCACTAATCATAAATGTTCATTAGAATTTCCTAAATATATCTCTATATTAGTTAACAATACGAAACATGATTATACAACGAAGTGTAATACTTTTATTCATATTTTTTTTTATATCACTGACAAGCAGACTGAACCATGTTGGTTAATGTAAACTACCTAGTTGGGAACCGCGAGATGATAGCAGCCGATGGTTAGAGACCTTGAGTGACATGGCTCAAAATCATTTACAATGACGCAGATGCATCCACTCTTTATGTTCTCCCGAATTCTAATCTTCTGAATCCTCCTTGTCTCCTTTTTTTTCCCTTTTCAAACTTATTTCACTGGATTATAATCCTTGAATAATATCTTCAAACCTTAATCTTTCCGATTTCTGCTTATACTTTTACTACCTCTACCACTATGGGATTTGAATCGACAACTGCATCTCTGTGCTAATGTGGTATGGCATCTCGAACTGATGTATGTAAGTACGAATTTCTACGTTGTTACTGACTGATTGCCCATGCGGCTCAGTGGCCTAGTGGTTAAGCACTCGCGTGCCAAACTCACAGGTCCTCAGTTCAAATTTCAGAAGGTGAGATTGTGGACATGCACTGTTGAGGAGTCTCATAATACGACGAAACGTCCATCCATTACTTCTAGGTTTTCCATAATCTTAACCATTGAAATTCTTATTCTAACAATACATTTATTGTTTTCTTTTATTACTTATTCATATTTAGAATTACTTTAACTAATCCATCATCATCTACACCAAGAGATACAACTATACCGTTATGGCCTGAATGGAATGATCAAGATGTGAATAATGAAAAATGGGATTCATCACAGAAAACTAAAGAAAAGAGTAAATTATCAGCTGTATGTTATGGAAATTCTTTTTTTTTCTTCTTCTTCTTGAAGTACTTTTAATTGATTTTATTTAGCAATCATCATCATCATCATCTACATATTTTATTGATCCAGAATCACAAGTTTTATATCCATCATCCATGATACCATTTAGTATGAAAAGACCAAATGAATTTATTACAGAAAAGGTAAATCTAATTCATTGATTATTATCAGAAGGGGTTTTTGTGGATATTATAGTAATTTCAATGGTTAAGATCATGAGTCAATTGAAGCTAGATCACCATGGTAAACCTGGAAGCACTGGACGACTGTTTCGTCCTATTATGAGACTCGTTAGCAGTGTGCAAATCGTAGGGGGCAAGATTGTGGATGCACATTGCTGAGGAGTCCAACAATAGGACAAAACGACCATTCAATGCTTCCAGGTTTTCCATGATGGTCTAGCTTCAACTGACACATGATCTTAACCATTGAAATTGATTGATTATTAATGATAAATTTTATATGGGAAATAAATACATAACATCTTTATGGGTGAGGATGATAATTCAATTAATTAAATAGTGAAACATAATCAATTGAGATCATTGAGACATGTGTTACGTATGGTCAACCACCGACTGCCCCAACGTGTGATGTTTTATAATAGGCTGGAAGAAAACTAGAGTCTACCAAACCAAAATATGGCATAACTCCATGAAGTCACTGACAAGTCGGCTTAGCCATACTGGTAGGTGTAGACTGCCTGATTGGGATCCACGAGATGATAACAACCGATGGTTATAGACCTTGAATAACATGGTAGAAAATCATTTGCAATGACTCAGGTGGATCCACGTTTTATGTTCTTACAAATTATAATCTTCTGAATTCTTCGTGTCCCCTTTTTTTTCTTTTTCTCCTTCGAAATTTATTTCACTGTATTATACTCCTTAACTAATATCTTCAAACCCTAATCTTTTTGGTTACTGCTTATACTTTTACTACGTCTACCAGTATGGGATTTGACTGGACAATTGTATGTGTGTGCTAATATGATATGGTAACTGAAACTGATGTTCGTACGTACGTACGTACTAAGTTCTACGTTGTTGCTGACTGACTGACTGGTTGACAAGACTGTATATATTCCAAGTTCAATTCAGTATTGAATAATGTGGAATCTTTCATGTATCTGTGAACCATCATCGATCAACAAGTCAAGGATTGACAAACCAAGAACAGCATTCCCACAGCTGAACAACATATGGAACTCAAAACAACTTTCAACCGTTATCAAAGTCAGAATCTTCAATAAGAAAATTAAGACAGTTCTACTGTATGGAGCTGAAACTTGCAGATCTATCACAACTAGCATCCAAATAGTTCATTCATTCATAAACAGTTGTCTATGCAAGATACTAAATGTCTGTTGAGGGAATACTATCATTAACAACCTGCTTTGTGAGAGGACAAACTAACTTCCATCTGAAGAGGAAATTACGAAAAGACGTTGGAAGTTGATAGGAAATACATTGTGGAAATCACCAAACTGCATCAGGAGGCAAGCACTAGCTTGGAGTTCTGAAGAGAAGTGGAAAAGAGGAAGGCGGAAGAACACACTACACCGGAAATTGGAAGCAGGTATGAAGATGATGAATAGCAACTTGAGAGAACTGGAAAGGATTGTCCAGTAGAGAGTTGGATGAAGAAGGCTGATGATTGACCTATGTTCCTTGACGAGTGGTAACCGGCGTAATTAAGTAATTAAGTAGTTAATTAATTAATTAATTAAGTAATAATGTTCCTTCAATTTCAGATATCGTTTGTATTCTATGAATATAGTTTTTCACCATACTGCCAAGTAAAACCTGTTACTTTGAATTGTACTTATTTACTTACTTATCTAAACCTGTTATTTCTCTTGAGACATAGGCTTCTAATCAGAGATGTTTAGCTAACTCTATTCTGGGCTTTTGTTTTACTTGTGACCAGCTGATATTCATGATTTCTAGATCTACTACCAATTCCATGCATCAAGTCTTTTTGAACTACCTTTTTTCCTTTTAACTTGAGGATTCCCAGTTAGGGCTTGTTTTGTGACGAAATTTAATGATTCTTTTAAAATGTTTCTTATCCACCTATAGCGTATTTTTCTAATCCCCCCGACTGGAAGCTCATTTGTTCTCTGCATAATATGGGTCCACTTTGTACCTGGTTGTATTAAGTGTGAAGTTCAACTTAAATTGGGAATGTATCTATACAAAAGCTAGATAGTAAAAAAAGAATTAACTCCAATGTCCATCTTTAACTCAACTAGAAACATAAATGCCGACAGAAACCTTGATTACAAGTTTGATAATAGGAAAGTCAATGTATGGAATGGAAACGAACAAATCACATCATATCTGTACAAGAATTCAATTCTAAGTGTTAAGGATCTATAGTAACTCAGTGTTACAGACTATTTGACGCTGTTTCTGTCAACATGATCATTTCGGAAGTAACTTAATTTCACCTTTGATAATACAGCTTGCTATACAGTTATATTTTCTCTCTTACCAGTTAGATTAATCATGAATCAGATAACCTACTTTGTACTCGTCGTTGAATGAATTTCGCGCCAAAATTCAATATCTGTTATTTTATATTTTATTAGTCCGTCTATGAATTGTAGTCTCTCTGATTTTCATCAGTATAAGGCTGTAGAGATTGTAAAGTTTTCGTTTGAGATTATGAATTGATTGATGTTAAACATGGAAACACTGAACGGCCGTTTCACCCTAGTACGGGACTCCTAGGCAATGCTCATCCACTATGTCGCACGCAGTATTTGAACCCATGACCTTTGATCCCGTGAGCGAACCCTTAACCTCTAAACCACTGAGCCGGTGTCCAACGGTGTTAATATCTAACTTCCATCGATTCATCATATGTTCACCAGTAACTGGCTCCGAGTTGATTTCCTGGATTCCTAGTGAGAAGCTGTGACTAGTGGAGTCCAATCGGTGTCATGTAGAGACAGGTATCTACCTCAGCCATTCATGAATCGATTGAAGTTAGACCTTAACATCGTTGGTTACCGGCTCAGTGGTCTAGAAGTTAGACGTTCATGAGCGAAATCGAAGGTCCTGGGTTCGAGTTCTTCTGGTGCAGGATAGTAGATGCACACTTTGGAGGAATCCTTGATTTCCATCAACATTTAGATTCAAATTCAATTTATCCATTCTATTTATCATTTATTCTTTATTTCTTACAATAGGCACCTGTTGTATATGATCCAGAATTTATAAATCATGTTGATCTACTCTATTATAATGAACATTTATTTAAAAATGAAGTAAGCGCCAAAATTTGTAGCCTTGACAACAACCAAATTACTATTATGATTTTAGTTATTAAGATGGATTATATGTGATATACAAAATTTATGGTTATCATGTAGAACACCAATTCCTGAATCTATTCCTCCGACAGAGTTCAATGAATCAAATATGATGATGAATTTAACTCATTCAACCAATTATAATTATGAATGGAAACCATGGGAACATATTTATGCCATGACAAAAATTACTAAAGATAATAATAATAATACACCACAATATAATCCTTATGGAAAATATATTGTCAAGCTGTATTGGATGGTATGTTGAATAATAGGCTATTTTTTTGTATTCTGGTTTAATAATAATGCATTTAATGTTTAATAGTACTTACTTACCTACTTAATTACTTACGCCTGTTACTCCTCGTGAAGGAGTATAGGCCGCTCACCAACATTCTACATCCAACCCTGTCATGGACAATTCTTTCCAGCTCCTTTCAGTTGTTATTCATCCTTTTCATATCTGCTTCTATTATCCGACGTAATGTGTTCTTCGGCCTTCCTCTTTTCCGCCTTCCTTCAGGATTCCAAGTTAGGGTTTGCTTCGTGATGCAGTTTGATGATTTGCATAATGTATGTCCTATCCATTTCCATCGTATTTTCCTAATTTCTTCTTCAGCTAGAAGCTGGTTTGTTCTCTCCCACAAAATGCTGTTGCTGATGGTATCCGGCGAATGGATGTTGAGTATCTTGCGTAGACAGCTATTTATAAATACTTGTACATGTTTGATGATGGCTGTAGTAGTTCTCGAAGTCTGAACTCCGTACAGTAGAACTGATTGTGTTGACGTTCGTATTGAAGATTGTGACTTTGATATTGGTTGACAGATGGTTGTTTTGAGTTCCATATGTCGTTCAATTGTAGGAATGCTGTCGTTGCTTTGCCAATCCTCGCCTTTACGTCTGTATCTGATGCTTTCCAGTTATGTGAAGCATTCTAGATCTTCCAGAGTTTCACCATCAAGAATGATTGAATTGGTGTTCTTCGTTTTGAATTTGAGGATGTTGGTTTTGCATTTGTGTATGCAGAGTCCTAGTGATGCAGAGACTGCTGCTACACTGGCTGTCTTTGTCTGCATTTGATCATGTGTATGCGATAGGAGGGCTACATATACACTGATAGATTAGAAGTAGTAACGATGACGGATTGAGAACAATGTATAGTATTTGATGTAAATCAAATGCTTTGGTACGGTCGAGGGTGGGGAGAGTTTGGTATCCCTTTTGAAATGCTCTCACATGGTCATGCATATATAGCCACTACCAGGGTAATCCTACTCATTACCTTCTTGAGACAGGGGTGTTGTTTGTGAAATTGAGAGGACGAAAGTGGAATATCAGGAGCTTTAATTGGGCTGGTGGACACAGAAGATCTACATAGGGTATTTGGAAAACCACGATTCCAAACCACTGATGTACATGAGCTCCAGGAACCTGAAGGAACAAATGGCGTATGAACCAATTATTGGTCTCGGGTTATCATGAACTGCATCTCTTTAGGTTGCTCCACTGACCAGACCTTAAGATCGAAGTCTCCGAGTGTGGCCCCCTAAGTAAACCACCTTTTTCGGTCTGGGTAACCGGAAAGTATCCCAGCTCTCACACACATCAGTTGATAATAACAATAATCGTCAAGTTTTATAGCTTACCATCGTTGGTACATATTTCTGCTTGTACTAAACCGTAAAAGATGAAATGATTATGATGTGATGAGCTTTTAGATTCAATTCCTCTTTTGTATATATTAAAGTGAAGCAGTTACAGGTGAAAAATTGATGTATCTGACTGGAATGAATATTAACTCTATATTTTGGGGTTCATCGGCAACTTCTAGAATATTTTGTTTGGTCATATCGTGGTATATGCTACTGATATGGGTAGATATAAGTAGTATGTATCATCAATCAAAAGTGAAATGTCTGGTGGCAGAAGGTTAAGGAGATTAACTAAAAGACAACGAGAGTAAAGAGTGATTGGTGTGGAAATGAAAGAAAAATGAAGTCTGAGACAATTAATGGACATTTTACAAATGAATTATTCACTGTATAGTTTCCACACTAATCATTCTCTGTTCACGCTCTGTTCTCTTCAATCTTCTTAACCTTCTACCTCCAGGCATTGCACTTTCTATTAATGACACATACTAGTTATATCAGAAGGGGTTTTTGTAGATAATATAGCAATTGTAAGAGCTGAGATTATAAGTCGATTGAAGATAGACCATCATGGAAAACCTGGAAGCACTGGACAACATTTTCGTCCTATTGTATGATTCCTCAACAGTGCGCATCCACGACCCCATCTCACGCGCCAACAGTTAAGCTCTAGACCACTGAGCCGGCCGGCATTCAACGATGTTAATATCTCATTTCAACTAATCTACGAAATTGAGTGATATATCGACCATTATCATCAATGAGTTACTAACTCACAACAGACTCGATTAAACTTCACTGGTCATTACTTCTCACTAGAACTTCAGGAAATACGTTTCGAAACTAGGTTTTTAATATTAATTACTTAATTAAAGCTGTTACTCCTATTGGAGCATAGGCCACCGACCAGCATTCTCCAACCCACTCTGTCCTGGGCCTTCTTTTCTAGTTCCATCCAATTCTTGTTCATTTTTCTCATGTCTATCTCCATTTCTCGGCGTCATGTGTTCTTTGGTCTTCCTCTTTTTCTTTGGCCTTGAGAATTCCATGTGAGGGCTTGTCTTGTGACGCACGAACTTTGGTGCTTTTCTCGATGTGTGTCCTATCCACTTCCAGCGCTTTTTCCTGATTTCTTCCTCCACTGGGATCTAGTTTGTTCTTTCCCACAGTTGGTTGTTACTAATAATGTCCAGCCAACGGATCCGATGTATTTTGTATAGACAACTGTTAATAAACAGCTGTGTCTTCTGAATGTTGGCTTTCGTAGTTCTCCATGTTTCTGCCCCATACAGTAGAACTCCACCTGGAGTACCTCCGGGGGCTACTGCCGGTCCCAAGCCCGGATAAAAAAGGAGGGTTGGGCATGGGGTTAGCGACCCCATCCTGTAGAAAACTAACTCGCTAAAAAAACGCAAACCAGAAAAAAATTATTAAGTTTTCAATAGTGGTCCATTAAAACTACTTATATCTACCGATATCAGTAGTATATATCACATAAGTACATTCTATTATTCTGTTATTATCTCTATCAATATTTCAAAATGAACTATCAAACTAATTCATTCTTTTGTTATTTCTAGGGTTGTTGGCGTAAAATCATTATTGATGATTCAATACCATTTGATGAAAATAATAAACCATTACTTCCACAAAGTAAACAATCATATGAATTATGGCCAATGTTATTAACAAAAGCTTTATTGAAAATAGCCTCTATGGAGTAATCATTGATTGAATCAATAATCAATCATTATTATAGTTGTAGAAATACATGTACCAATACAGAAATAGGGGATTTCAGTACAATACAATGTTTAACTGGATGGATTAAACATACTATTGTAATCAAGTAATAGTTATATCTATATCTATATCTATCTATACCCCCCTTCCTTTTGTCTTTATAAAGGAAACATTCCATAGATCAATTATGGTATTACCTTAGTGATTATTTATTAGATTGGGAAAGAGTTGATGATGTTATAAAACGAAATGAGAAATCTATCAAAATGGAACAAAATGAAATAATAGAAAAACTGGAATCTCATGATATCTCAATCAATAAATCAATAATCAATAAAGAAAAATCGAAAGAAAAAAAAGGTAATAAAAAAAACCCATTTCAATTTAATGATTTATAGGAATAGAAAAAAATAAAGAAATGAATAAAGAGAAAAAAGAACAAAGTAAGTAATGATTGATTAGTAAGTTATTGATAAATTATTCTATTGATAGGATTCTTCAATAGTGCATATCGATGATCTTATCTTGTGAGAGTTGAATTCATGATGTATTGATGTTGTACATGAACTGCTGAAACGTTATAGACTATAGAGTCGGTGAATGTTTCGCTGAATTTTATGGATTCGTCGAAGTTAAACATTAATATCGTTGAATGTCGACAGGTTTAGTGGTCTAGGGGTTAAGTATTCGCGTGCAAGATCAATAGATCCGGGGTTCGAATCTTGCGAGGTAAGGTCATGTATGCACACTGTTGAGGAGTCCCATACTAGAGTGAAAGGGCTGTCCAATGCTTCCAGCTTTTTGATGGTGGTTTAGCTTCAATTGACTCATGTTTTCAAATGTTAAAATTACTATAATATCCACAAAAACCCCTTCTGATATTAATAAACATATGTTCACTAACGACTCGTTCCAAGGGGTATTTCCTGCAATTCTAGTGAGAAATAGTGACCGGTGAAGTTTAATAGGGTCTGTTGTGAGATAGTGACTCATTGATGACAATGGTGGATGTGTCACAGATTTTTGTGGATTGGTTGAATTTAGACATTAGCATCGCTAGATGTCGGCTGGTTCAATGGTCTAGAAGTTAAGCGTTCACGTGCAAGACCAGTAACTCCTGGATTCGAATTTCGCGGTGCGGTATCGTGGATGCACACTGTTTAGGAGTCCCATACTAGAGTAAAACGGCCGTCCAATGCTTTCAGGTTCTAGCTTCAACTGACTTATGATCTCAACTATCCAAAATCTTAGTTGTCTAGTCTTTAGTAGTACTGATCGGTTTCTTGAAATTAATTTGAAAAAAGAATTTAGTCATTAATCAGAGTTAATCCATAGCTCACGTATTACATTTTCATGTTAAGTAATTGAACTTTGGATGTCTTAGTATTACAGAATGATCACAACCAATAAATTGACAAGGTTCTGAATCTTATGAGGAGCATAGATTTCCTGAACGTCGTACATGTCTTGTTGATATATATAAGATTCAGAACCTTTTCAATTGGATATACGCTAACGACTGGTTTCAATCATCTGGTATCAAAAAATATTGAGCAACTCTACTGCTTTTATAAACAAGGATTGCTACCAAATCTGTCATTATCAAGTTATAGTCGAATATCGTTTGAGACAGTACGGCAATACCAAGTTATGAATGATTTTGAGATCATTCTTATACAAAAACTGAATCTAGTGTGATTGAATAAATTGATAACTTCCCTAATACCAAACTCATGTGAGGATAGGAGGTGGGGACAACAGGACCATGCAACAGAGTGCTTAGATATCAAAGATAAGTAAAAGTGTAAAATCACAGAGTACATATTGTTTTGCGTGTTAGAATAATCAATGAGAATGAGTGTAAATCACATGACCACCAAAATACTGATTTAAGTCAACAAAAACAATGGTATGATGACAAACGTAGTCGTAGTCGTAGTCGTCGTCGTCGTAGTAGTAGTAGTAGTCGTAGTAGTAATAGTTGTTGTGTAATGGACGAACATTCAGTTGTGGCGTATCACAACTTACCTTCTCCAGCATATTAATGTAGTAAGAGGTTTTGTTAAAAATTCCCATGATTTAAAGAACCACTGATGAATGAGGAGTATTGGACAGTTACTTCGTCCCAGTTTGGATCTACTAATCAATACGCAAATACGATTGTAAACGAGATTAAACTTAGGTTATTTTTAAGCCATTTAATGATCACGCTGCATTTAAAACACTAATTTATACTGAATTCTTGAAGTTCTGATAAGACTTTGTAATTTTCAAAGTCCTATCATATTGAAAGTGAGATAGTCATTCATTGATGACATTACAGAGTCTTTCTTCACCATAACAAATCGATCAAAATTGAAAATTGAAGATTGATAACTAATACACGCTTGACGGAAAAGCTTTGGAGAATATAAAAACCTTTACATAATTGGGCAGCATTATTGATGAACATGGTGGATCTTATACAGATGTGAAAGTGCGGAGCGATAAAACAAGAGCAGCATATTTACAATTTAAGAACATCTAGAACTCAAAACAACCATTAACCAACACCAAAGTCAGAATTTTCAATACAAATATCAAGACAGTTCTACTGTATAGGGCGGGAGATACAAGTGTTTAATAAGAGTTGTCTACGTAAAATATTTTTGATCCGTTGGTCAGACATCATGAGCAACAACTTACTGTGGGAGAGAACAAACCAGATTCCAGTGGAGGAAGAAATCAGGAAGAAGTGCTGAAAGTGAATAGGACACGCATTGAGGAAAACACCAAACTGCGTCATAAGGCAAGCCGTCACTTAGAATCCTCAAGACCAAATGAGAAGAGGAGGATCAAAGAATACATTACGCAGAGAAATTGAGACAGATATGAGAAAAATGAACAACAATTGGATAGAACTGGAAAGGAAGACTCAGCACAGAATGGGTTGGAGAATGCTGGTCGACGGCTTGTAGTACTCCAGTGGGAATAATAGACGTAAGTAAGTAACTAAACTAAACGTTTATTACAATTTACATTATTCAATTGATAAATACTGGTTTGGACTGTTTTAAAACATGAATCTAGTTCTTAGTCCATCTACCAGTAATTAGGTTTTGAATATATTCTAACGTCATTAGTTTACTCTTTGTTTTACTCATTCTGTCTATATATATTGTTACATTTAGTTGGGCATAATACAACAGAATTAATGAATCCTAAGATTCCTGAAACTATAATATTTGCATCGTGTAAAAATACAGGTTCATCATTGGCATCACTTGTTCCTTCAGCATCAAAGGTTAGATTAATTCTATGAAATGATTGTTAGTTTATTGAGTTTATTATTTAGTTACTAATCAGATTGTTATTTTCGAGTTGATTTAAGAATTCTAACCTGGCAACCGATGATGATCTATGTATAAGCATTATATAAATTTCTATTCATTTTGTATTATCCTTATATTGTTAGTTATTTAATCTCATTGATTGAAGCTAGACCACCATGGAAAACCTGGAAGCACTGAACGGCCGTTTCGTCCTAGTATGGGACTCCTCAGTAGTGCGCATCCACGATCCCGCACCCCGTGAGATTCGAATACAGGACATATCAGTTTCGCATCAGGCGCTGATCATTAGATAAATTTTATTGATTTCTTAAATTGTCAATTCAAGAAAGGAAATAACATATACAGTTTAGGAATTTAGATTGATATCATGAATGGATGAATATAAGATCACCATTGAAAATCTGGAAACACTGGACGACCGTTCCAATCTAGTGTGGGACTAGTGAACAGTTCGCATCCACGATTCCACCTCTGAGTCGGCATTCAATGGTGTTCTTAACATTTTAATTCAGTTCATTTCAGACATTTTTGATATAAAGTATGTGTGAGGACGGTCCACGGGTGAATTCGAGGAAGCTCTAAGAAGCTCAGAAAAAATAGAAGGTATTCCATCCAACAATTTTTTGAAAGAACATTCCAGAATCATGACATGTAGCTTCCCTATTAAAAAAGTACTAAAAACTACTGTATGCGGGTTAGATGACTAAAACGATGATTTCACTTTTAATAAAAACTATAAATACCTGAGAGTTTTGTACTATATTTGACACTATTTGAAATAGAATTCCTTCTCAGTCGTCTTCTATCTTCTTATTTGTGACTTGGAAGGTTCTAGTCAGTCAGTCAGTCAGTCAGTTACAGCGTAGAATCAGGCACGTACATACATCGGTTCAAGTTGCCACACCTCGTTAGCACAACAAGATGAACACCGGATTGATAGAAGCAGTTAACTCAATGGTGTAATATATAAAGCAAAGATCGCATATAAGGATATAGTACAGAAAGAAAGAAGATAATGTGAACTGTAAAGTATAGGTTATTACTTATATATGTTTTAACAAGTAATCAATAATACATTTTGCATAAAATTTCTTAATATTTAAGGAGGAGATTACAATGAAACTTAAACAATTTGGATTCACTTATACAGATTCATATCCAATTCGTATAGCTAAACGTCGTACTATACCACTTATTCCTCCATCACCTATACAACCTACACCTCAATGGAAGTTGATCAGACCAAGACCATCTGATTTTCCATTTAATTCATCTAACAATAATGATTTACAAAGTAATAAAGAGAAAGAACCTATACGTTCATTACTTCTATGGACACCTGTACAAGAGCATATATTTTATGAACCAGAGAAAGTTATGTATGTTATAAGTATTTATATTAGATTTTGTTGTTATGATGTGTATTAAGTGTAACTATCAATCAAATAGAGATGGATACACGTGTTTCATCCTATTCGGATTCTCATCAGCTGTATGTACCTACATCCCAGAGTTGATATTCACTCTATGGATCGAATTGAATACTGTTCGCTTCAAACACCATCGCATTATCCACTTAGCTACTAAATCCAAATAGTCACTGGCTTGTGCAACCAATACTAATGAATTATCATTTACATAGATTTGTAAAGCTAAATTTTTAATTTTAGATTATTAACCAATTAAAGTCGATAAATTATTGAAATGAATAAATGGATAGATTGAATTACTTTGTTTAAAGGATTATTTCTCAAATCCAAACCGTATTATTAAGTCATTAACTGATCAAGTAAGCATTAAAACAAGCTAGTGCTTTTATTATAATATATTGAAACCAAATGATGTCAGTCAGAACAACATAGAACTTTGTACGTACGTACGTACATCAGTTCAAGTTGCCATACCACATTAGCACAGAGATGTAGTTGTCGACTGGAATTCCGTGATGGTAGAGGTAGTGAGAGTAAAAGCAGTAATCCGAAACATTAGGGTTTGAAGATGTTATTAAAGGATTATAATCTAGTGAAACAAATTTGGAAAGAGAAAAGGAAATAAAAGGGACATGAGGAATTCAGAAGATTAGAACGTGGGAGAACACAAAGAGTGGATAAACCTACGCCATTGCAAATGATTTGGAGCCATGTCATTCAAGATCTCTAACCATCGGATGTTATCATCTCGCAGATCCCAACCAGGTAGTCTATACCCACCAACATGGCTCAGTCCAGGGGTTGAACTTCTACCAGGAGATTCACTTGTCGACTTAGAATATGCTGATGAAATAGTACTATTAGGTGAATACGCTGACAAAATGCAATCTTCTGACCACTATAAGCAACAATGGAAGCATGTTCGAGATGCGATTATCCCCCTTCGAAATGCAAAATGATCGGGAGTGATGTAGTCAAGCGTGTCGACCACTTAACTTATATTGGGAGTCTCATCAGTCCTTGCAGTCTGGTATGACGAAATCTCAGCACGGATAGAGAAGGCTCGACTAGCTTTTGCCAACTTGCGTCATTTATGGCGTAGGCGAGATATCCGTCTACCAAACAAATGAAGGGTTTACTTCACAGCAGTTCGTTCTGTCCTACTTTATGGCTGTGAAACATGGCCGGTAAGAGTAGAGGATATTCGTAGGTTACTAGTATTCGATCATAAGTGTCATTGAAGCATTGCTCGTATATCCTGTGACCACCGAGTAAGTAATGCAGTTGTTAGGAAACGAGTACTGGGTAAGGATGACAAATCAGTTGATGAAGTAGTGAAACTTCACTAGTTTAGATGACTTGAACATGTGTTACGTATGATCAACCACCGACTGCCCCGACGTGTGGTGTTTTATGGTGTAAGAGTAGGATGTGTTAGGACTCCAATTAATCAGTCTCTTGTTGATATATCTATATTTTGTGCGGACTGCCTCGATATTGCCTTAAGTCAAAAACATTCTAAGCAAAGATGGATAGGGGCTAGCAGTGAAATCCAGTTTGACACGCGTTTCATCCTATTTGAGTTCTCGTCAACTGAATGTATCTGCATCTTAGAGTTGATGTTCACTACGATACTCGAACTCATTACCGTTTGCTTTAAACGTCATCATGTTATCCCCTCAGCTATTGAGTCCTGTTGAATGATACAGTTCGCTAGTCTAAAAACACTTCAAAACCATTTTATCGACTATTTTTACTCTTAAACTAATAAGTTGAAGTTTTATATTTGAATACAAATTATTATTACTCCTTTGATTTATAGAACAAGTCCGCCTACTTCTACTGTTGAATCAGTTTATATGTCAAGTTCTTCACCTGACACAGGAAAACAAATTAGTGGAACATTAAAAACTAGATCAAATTCTCAAACATCACCAACACGTCGTCGACGTGAATCCATTTCAAATAATCCAAGTCCATCTAGATCTCAAGTTAGTAAAAATTTATTCATGATTCATGAAAAATAAGTGGAAATTTAAAGATCATTTATTAAAAGGAATTTATGTTACCTAGGAAATATTGGAACGAGTTAGTATTAGATAGTTCTTAATAATCAAGATGTTTTATAGTTGAACTGATGATCATGATCTTTTAAGGTAAATCCTGGAGTGAATATCAACTCTGGAATGCAGGTACATTCAGCTGACGAGTTCCAACTAAGACGAAACATGAGTCAAACTGGATTCGACTGCTAGCCACTATTCATCTTTGTTCATAATTCTTGTGAATTAAGGCAATATCAAGGCAATCGGTACAAGATGTACATATGCTAACAAGAAATGGATCAGTAGCTATCCCAAACATCAATGGAAAGATTCGTTATGAACTACTGATGTCTAATTATTAGAATTTATAGCTGATGTCAGTTCGTGATGAAAACCCTAAATCTAATTCCTAACCTTAACCATCAACTATAATTCATAATTCGAATTCCTCACACTGTTTTATAACCCTCATTCTGTCTTAGTTACTAGGTGTGCACTGTCAAGATCACTTAGGTGTCGCTCAAAGGTCGTCCATAGATTATAGTCTCATCCCTAAGTTTCATGCTAGCTGACATTTATCAATAGGATATACTTGTAATCTTAAGGAAATAGATTACTCCTGATAGAGGTTTATTTCATTTTTATTTACCTATTCATAGTTAGTGATTAAAATGACATATATGTATCCTAGAGTACTAATGTTTTTCAATTATCTTTTCTAGAAAAGAGGTTCACGTGAAGACATACTAAAGAAAGGTAAGTTGCAAAATATAAACCACCCTATAAAGATATGATGACTAGTATTGTAATTGTGAACACTGAGATGTTGTAAATACCCTAGTACATTGTGATTTATCCCATTATAATAAAACACAAACCATCTTCAACTGAGAAGCTATTTCCATTAGTTATTTAGAATGATGAGTCTATTTTTAACGAGTATCACATCAAGAACTCAGGTTCTGAGTTCGAACCCCGTGAGTGGGATCATGGATATACACTGTAGAGGAGTCCCACACTAGAACAAAACGGCGATTCAGTGTTACTAGGTTTTCTATGGTGGTCTAGCTTTAATTGACTCATACATTCAACTATTAAAGTGCTATGATATCCACAAAATCCCTCTCTGATAATAATTATCGTATGCTCATAAGTGACTATCTCCAAGAGGTATTTCCTGGAGTTCTAGTAAGTCTTTTATTCTACAACATATAGTATTTCACTGGCTGAAATCAGGAGTCAATTGAAGCTAAACCACCATGGAAAACCTGGAAGCACTGGAAGACCGTTTCGTTCTAGTATGGGACTCCTGAGCAGTGAGCATCCACGATCCCGCAACCCGAGAGATTCGAACCCAGGACCTACTGGTTTCGCGCGCGAGCATTTAACCATTAGTGAGAAGTCGTTACCAGTGAAGTTCAAACAGGTCTGTTATGAGATAGAAACTCACTGAAGACAATCGTGTACGGTGGCACAACTTCGTGGATTGGTTGAAGTTAGACATTAACAACGTTAGGTGTCGGCTCAGTGGTCTAGTTGGTTAAGTGCTCGCGCGCGAAACCAGTAGGTCTCGGGTTCGAATCCCGCGGGGTTCGGAATCGCGGATGCGCACTGCTGAAGAGTCCCACAATAGGACAAAACGGCCGTCCAGTGCTTCAAGGTTTTCCATGGTGGTCCAGTTTCAAATGACTCATGACTTCAACCAGTGAAATTTCTAAAAATCTCCACAAAACCCATTCTGATAATTTAGTATTTATTGTTACATTAATTAGAGTGAAAATGTTTAGACCCTTAGAATTTACTGTCCTTGCAGGATCTTAATGATGATCAAGCAGAATGAAGTTTGATATTCATTGGTCGATTGTGAACAATATCGATGAAGGATCTACTGTGGATTATCTAGACTTAAAGATTATCAAAAATGTTTTTTCTTAATCTGATGATCTTTTGTGATTATTCTGTAATAGAACAAAAATGAACGATCAGCAAGATATTTCAACGTGAAAGTCTATCACGAGTGAATCTATATTCATTGAATCTAAATGAGCTTTAAGATAAATTTTGTTATCGTTGGTTTGATGAATCGTTGACACACAATTAACAAGGGAAACTCCATCAAGATAGTTTACATCATGAGTCGATGTAATCTATACAACCACTGAAAGGTGGAAAGTGTTGGACAGGTGTTTAATTCCAGTAGGAGTCTCTTCAGCATTAAGGGTGTATGACCTAAACAGATATTGAATCTATAAACTTAAAGTCTGTAGATCCTAGGATTCTTTGTATGATGTTACATGCTTTTAAATTTCACAAATAAATATATACCGAAAAGCTGTATTTTCATTAATCACTCATGGTCACTAAATTGCTCACATACGGTACTCTATTTAAGCCTTAGCGTTTACTTACTTACTTACTTACGTCTGTTACTTTTAATGCAGCATAGGGCGCTGACCAGTATTCACCAACCCACTCTGTCCTGGGCCTTCCTTTCTAATTCCAGCCAATTCTTGTTCATTTTTCTCATGTCTATCTCCATTTCTCGACGTAATGTGTTTTTTAGTCTTCCTCTTTTCATTTGGCCTTGAGGGTTCCATTTGAGTGCTTGTCTTGTGACACAGTTGAGTGATTTCCTCAATGTGTGTCATATCCACTTCCAGCGCTTCATCCCAATTTCTTCCTCCACTGGGATCTGGTTTGTTCTTTCCCACAGTACGTTGTTGCTAATAGTGTCCGGCCGACGGACGCGAAGTATTTTGCATAGACAACTGTTAATAAACACTTACATCTTCTGGATGATGGCTTTCGTAGTTCTCTAAGATTCCACCCCATACAGTAGAACTGTCTTGATATTTGTATTGGAAATTCTGACCTTGGTGTTGGTTAATGGTTGTTTCGAGTTCCAGATGTTCTTAAATTGTAAATATGCTGCTCTTGCTTTACCGATCAACGCCTTCACATCTACATCAGATCCACCGTGTTCATCAGTGACGCTGCCGAAGTATGTAAAGGTTTTTACATCTTCCAAATCTTCTCCGTCAATTGTGATTGGATTGGTGCATTCTGTGTTGTATCGGAGAATCTTGCTTTTCCCTTTGTGTATGTTGAGGCGTACTGCTGCTGAGGTTGCTGCTACACTGGTCGTTTTCTCCTGCATTTGTTGTTGCGATTGCGATAGGATGGTCAGATCATCTGCGAAGTCTAGGTCGTCCACTTAGCGGCTACAGTGTTAGTTATTTAAATTGTCAGTTTATTCATATTTTCGAATTATCATTCATACCTCTAAATTGATAAAAAAAATGTACTTCAGGGATGCCAAGTAAATCAAAAGAAGCTAAAGGACAGAATAAAACTCCAGAAACAAGTGGAAGTAGTCAACAAAATTCTAGTTCACGTACAAACAATTCATTACACATGAAATCATGCAGTGAAGATATTGTACCTGAAGTATCAATAACAACTAGTTCTGTAACGAATCCTAAAGAAATATGGCTTGATATAAAAGATTTTTGTGAAATATTCAAGTAAGTTAATCTTTTGTAAAAATTATTGTTTACGTTGAAGTATGGATTCAAACGTTTTTAGACAATAAACATTAAATGGATGCGCACTGCTGAGGAATCCCACAATAGGACGAAACGGCCGTCCAGTGATTCCAGGTTTCCAAAGGTGGTCTAACATCAATCAGTTCATGATCTCAATCAAAAACCTAATAAACTCCACAACCCCTATACTAGTAAATATGAAATGAGTTGAAATTAGAATAAAAATATTAAAGGCAATATCGAGGCAATACACACAGAATACACCCCATCACACAAGGAAGTGGCTATTAGGACTTAGTAGCTAAGTGAATAACACGATGGCGTTTGAGCCGAACGGTATTGAGTTCGAGTCTCAGAATGAACATCAACTCTGAGATGCAGGCACATTCAGTTGATGAGTCCGAAACAGGACGAAACGTGCATTCTGGATTCCAAGGTAACCTGAACAGGATGTACATATACCAATAGGAGACTGATCATTTGTAGTCCTAATACAACAATGGGAACGTTCAAGTAAGGAACATGGACTAAAAGTTTTATAACATTTTGTTTAATTATAATAATCATCATAACTTTTACTGACTAAAGTTACAGTATTGATTCGTAGATAATCTTTGACATACGATTCGGCGAGACTCTAATTTATGGACGACCTTTGAACGAAACTTAAGCGACCTTGAGAACTATTAGTCAATCAGCAAACAGTCAGTATAGAGTAAAAATATGTTATACAAAACCAAGGAAATAAAGTGGATACACTTCTTATAAGTGGTTCAAAAATTTGTCAGGGTTAGAAAGAGGTTCAAAGGTTCTAATATCGTAATGCATGCAGTAGAGGAAATCATCCATACGGCTACAGAATAATCGGCCTCTGGAGCCATAATAAAGTCCCAAAAACCCTCTCAGCCTCCACCACATAGTTTCAATATTGTTTATGTGCACTCCGGTTGTTGATTGCACAAAATGCTACTTGTGGATAACGACACGATACACATAACAAATCTATGTAAGAGTCTGTACGCTTTCCAAACATCCGTATAGATTGTAGTACCTAGCTGCAGCTAGTGTTACTGGTGCTTTTATTATCCAGTTCGCAATAATTGTCGTAATTTGCCTTAGTTAGGAATTATATATGAGGTTTTCATCACGATCTGACATCAGTTATAATGCCAGGAGTTTATTTAACCAAATGGATGAAAGGCTTTCACGTTAAAATCCGAGATCTATTATCTTATACCTGATTGTTTCGTCCACAAATTATAGTCACGCCGTTTTATTTGTTATAGCCTCTCAATGATCACGTTTTGTACAAAATCCCCTGTGAACCGATCGTACGTCAGCGTTAACCGCTGAAGTTGGCGCCGTAACCTTGAAATCTCTTGAACGCCACTGATTGGCTCGTCCATAAATTAGAGTCTCGCTACGAAATCTACTCTGATTCCAAGATAATTGTAATTTTATTTGTTATTTAGTAACTTCAAAGGTTTAAAAATACATTCGCACTTCATTTAAATATATGAAGTCCATTTCTCATAAACCTTCTATTAGCATAATGTTAGGCAGTTAATGATCTTCTTAAAGATTTTCTTAACCTATGTTACGTTCTGATCGACATTAGTCAGAACACTATCTTTTAACACAATAGGTATCCTTTAGAACTGAGGTGTTACATCAAATTATCACGGAGTAAGACCGATTGTTATCTCATGTATTTCTTGATTCTGATCATATTCTGTTGATCATAATCTGATCCTTTGGAGAACTTCAACTTCTTCAGAATTGTAGTTGTATTCCATTAGCAACTGTTAAACTAGCATGAAAATATGGAATTAATTAGGGTTTCTTGTTATTTGTTTTCAAGTATCTAATATCAAACGTAAATCACATTGTGATTAGTGATCTCATGGTAACGTTGATTTGAACTAAGGATTAGACAAGATTTCATTGGTTAATACTCAATGATATCTTAATGTATTCGATAGAACAAATTATAACTGAAGTTTTAATTACAGTACTTTTATTCTGAATTAGTTATTATGTAAATCATCATTTTTATTCAACTTTATTATAAACATACTGATAGAAATAACGTTCTCGCCGACTGAATCCCCGCGCATTGATCTCCAACCAGGAGGTCCACTTATCGACTCACTATACGCAGCTGATATAGTACTGTTTGATGAAGACGCTGATGAAACACAGCCTTTTGGTAGCACTGAGGGACAATGCCAGAATGTCTGAAATGAGTTTCTCCCTCTCTAAATGCAAGTTGCTGCTTCAGAACTGGCCTGCATTAACACCTGAACTAAGGATAGGAAGTGAAGTAGTCGAACACGCTGACAATTTCACTTAACTTGGAAGTCTGATCAGACCTAATTAGTTAGTGTCTGACTAAATCTCAGCACGGATTTATAAGCCTCGCTTGGCTTTTGCCAACTTATGTCACCTATGATGAAGGCGAAATATCCGTCTACCAATTAAGGGACAAATATGCTGCACAGCAGTTCGTCTTGTTCTACATTAAGGCTGCTAAATGTGTCCATTAAGGGTAGAAGATACTCGTAAGTTACTAATATTTGACCACAGATGCATTAGAAATATTGTTTGCATCTGCTGGTACCACCGGCTAAGTAATAGTGAGGTTAGAAAGATACAGGGTATTTGGAAATGATGATGGCAAATTAGTTGATGACATCATGAATCTTCATCGACTGAGATGGTTGGGTCACGTGTTACGAATGCATGAACACCGATTCACACAACGTGCAATGATAATTAGTGTTGGGGATAGTCGAAAGAGAGTTAGGGACGGTCAAACCAAAACGTGGCATCACTCCTTGAAGTCACTAACTTTTAGTCTGAGTCATGTTGGCAGATACAGATTACTTGGTTGGTGTCCGTGTGACTATCAAAACCAATGGTTGGAGATTGTGGGTGACATGACTCAGAATCGACCGATCACAATGGTATGGGTGTATACACACTCTGTCTACCCTTAAACTGTGAGATTGAAATCGCTTCATATCTTTCTTTGTACCAACTAATTCTTTCTTTCTGCGCTATATCCTTACATAAAATCTTTCTTTTATATATTAATACTGTTGAATTAGCTACTTTTATTAATCCTGTGTTCGTGTTGTTGTGCTAATGAGGTATTGCAACTTGAACCGATGCATATATATGTCCCTGGTCCTTTGTTGTAGCTGACTGACTGACAAATCATCATTTGTGTATCTTCCCTTCTGTATTCCCATTTTGTCGAATTATTAAACTTTAACATCCACTAATAATCAGTTCACCTAATTGTAACAACATGAATGACCTTCGTTTTACTCCTTATCCCCACTAAAAACACTGACTCTAATTGACACATATAACTTCTCTCCGGCTCCATCCTGCACCATCAGAGTACCAAAAAAACTGCAATTCATTCTGCATATATAATGGCCTAAAACTTACACGATAGTATACATTAATTAGTAGACCACAATACGTAATTAGTATGAAATCTCAAACCGTACATAACATGAATTTATAATCCCCAAAACACATTCAAGGTGAAACTTCTTTCATAACTCCAGATATTCAAAGGTTAGGTGTTTATTTTAGTTATTATTGTACCTTACCAGGATACAATGTAACATGATAAACATTCCGTATTTGTTACTTATTGTATCGATTGTCTTATCCAGATCAAGTTATGATCAGAATCTATTGTCATTCTACATTAACATTACAGTAAACAAATGAAGTACCTGATTTACATATCAATAACCTTAATAGTATTACATCAAATAAGCGTACTTATATATATGCTTCATTTTTTGCAAGTATATATAGCTAGATACCTGTTGAGCTAGTTAAAAACTATTTGAACTTAGTAGCTCAGTTGATCGCTTGAAAAGAAAAGAAGTTCTAATGATAAGCCGTGACCAGTGGGGCTGATGCATGTCGGGTAGAGATAGGTATCTACCTCAGTACAATCGAAGGTGTTCGCGCAGTTTCATGGATTGGTTGAGGTTTAACTAAAGGCCCTGGGTTCGAATCTCACGAGCGGGATCGTGAATGCGCACTGTTAGGGAGTTTCACAATAGGATGAAACGGCCGTCCAATGCTTCTAGGTTTTCAACGGTGGTCTAACATCAATTGGTTCATGATCACGATCAGAAACTTATTATTCTTCACAACCCTATACTGATCAGAAGAAATATATTAAGTTCGACTCTCAATCCGAATACGAATATAAGAGGTAGATCCGTTTGATGAGTTCCAAACAGGATGAAACACACCTTATATATTATACTGTCGGCGTTAATCCAACTTTATTATAAGAATGCCTATATTTGTAAATAGTATTTGAATCTTTACTATCATTTTATATATCTTATATAGTTTTCTTTTTAATGAATCAATTCAGGACAGTGACCATTTATCATAAGCCAAATACATATTCAATTGTCAAAACATATTCCAATTTAAAAGTGAGTCAATCCAATGTATGATACAATTTTTATGACTTAACGTATTGATACAAATCTTTATTTATTTAAACCTCTAAACATTAGTACATGAAGGCTGGGATACTGCTCGGGTGCTCAAACCAAAACAGGCACTTTTCTTAAGGGCCACAACCAGAGCTTTGGACCCGAAGGCCTGATTCACAAGGCAGTGAAACAACCCAAGGAAATACATTCTCATGGTAACCGGTAACCAACAATTGGTTCATATACCTTTTGTTTCCTTAGGATCCTGAAGCCCATGTGTACCAGATGTTTGGAATGAGGGTTTTCCAACTTCGTTAGGTGGATCCTCTATATTCACCAAGCTGATTAGAGCGCCGGACATTCACTTTTCGTCCTCTCAATTTTGTAAACAACACCCCCACCGCGAGAAGTCAGTGAGTAGGAATTCCCTGGAAGCGGTTGTATGCACGTGGACACTTGAGAGCATTTGGAGAGGGAGAGCTTAATCTCTCCACTCTCGGCCGTATCAGGGCATTTGAGGGCGATACAAATCTGATCCATGGATGAATGAAATAGGTGCACACACAAGAGGAGGAGAAACTTTGATCTCTTTGAATGTTATTATTCAAGCGATCAATGACATCAAATCAGTTTCGTGTTCTAACAGTATTCTTAATTCTAATATCCGCTTTTGGAGCTTCATAGTTTTTCTGAAGAACTCATTCATAATTGATATCACGAACCGAATAAAGTTAGACATCCATTATAAACCAGGAAATACTGGATAGCTATTTTGTTCTAATATGAGACTTTTCCGTAGTGACACATCCATGATTTCAACAGTAATCAAACCAAAGATCTTCGATCTCATAGACAATGCCTAAAGTACAGATCATACATACTTACTTACGCCTGTTACTCCCCATGAAGCTTAGGCCGCTAATCGCCATTCTACAACCCACTCTACCCTGAGCCTTCCTTTTCAGTTCTATCCAATTGTTGTTCATTCTTCTCATATCTGTCTCCATTTCTAGGTGTAGTGTGTTCTTTGGTTTTCTTATAAACGACCTAAATTTGCCATAAAAAAAGACATTCTATGATATTGTATTTCAATTTATTTCAGCCATCTGATCAATCAAAAGTACATTATTTATTTTGTGATAGTATTCAACCATGTGAAATTATTCTTCAATTCTCAGTTATTTATCAATGGCCATTACCTATTGCGAAACGTTTAACTCCATCTACTTATTCACGTGGTATTACTTGTATGCCTGAAACAGATGAAACATCAACAATACCAGTAAATGAACATAGTAGTACACATTTCTTACCGATAACTACGACATCAGGTATGTGTACAAAATTTCAGTTTGTTTTCATTATATGGATCTTTAGTAGTGTTATGAATGTCCTTCAGATAAGTATGTACATTTTTAACCAATGAATAAAGCGATAGAGTTTGAAGTAAGCGGTACTGGGTTCGAGTCCCAGAGTGAACATCAACTCTTGAGATGCAGGTACATCCAGTTGACCAATCCCAAATAGGATGAAACGTGCATCGAACTAGATTCCACTACTAGTCAGTATCCATCATTGCTTACAAAAAGCTTGTGAATTAAGGCTATACCGAGGCAATCTCCACATGATGCACATATTCCAACATGAGACTGATCAATTGCAGTCCTAAATAACAATCGGAAGATACAAGTTAAATAGCACCAAAGTGGATTCAATGAACAAACAGTTAAAAGACAAGTTAAATGTAAATGAGTTTTGAGGGTTTCCCTTAACTTATGAATTTTTCAAGAAATCCTAACAGTCTTCTAATCTTATTAAACAAATTCTGTAGATAAACCTTCTTCCGAATTGTGGATAAATGGATGATGTTTCACAAACAATTATTCATTAAGTTTAATACTTGAGATCATGAATCAATTGAAGCTAGACCACCATGGAAAACCTGGAAGTACTGGATGACTGTTTCGTCCTGTTGTGAGAATCCTCAACAGTGTGCATCCACGATCCCGCCTTGCGAGATTCGAACCCAGGATCTATCGGCCATTGGTTTTACGATATTTCTCAACAATCTTACTGAATTGTGAGAAAACGATTTAGATAATTAATAAACAGAAACTTTGATCTGTTTTAGTACTTTCTAAACCATCGAAGTAGCTTTTATTCGGTGAATTAATGAAAAAGTGTTTTACCTTAGAGTTAAACTTGAACTAAGGAATGCAAAACTAAATAATTTATTTGTTATGTACTAGTTGCATCAAAATGAATAAACATTGAGGTTTACAGGACGAGCTGTGAACCATATTTGGAGAAATTCGAACAGTTCACTTCTACCTGAAGTTTGTACTGATGATGTCGTTCAGAAGAACGATGAAATCTCTACGACCAAACCATCCAGCTCAGAGAACAAAACTCCATCAAGACGATGTGTTTCTTTGTCTGTTAATCATTTTGAAAGATTGAGGAATGTCAATCAAGTGCTATGGAGAGTTATTGAACTGTTCACATCCGTTGCGCCTTTCAATCTGTTATATCTTGAAAAATCGATTTTTCTTGATACTACCGCGTATAACTGAGCACTAGAACACCAAAACCCTTCCAAGTCGCAGTAAGAAGAGAGAAGACTAATGAAAGGAATATTATTCCAAACAGTGTCGAACATAGTACAACATTGTCAGGTATTTATAGTTTTAAGTGAGAACGAAATCATCATTACAGTCGTCCAATCCGCGTACAGGGGGTTATTAGCATTATCCAATGGGGAAGCTACACGTTGGAATTCTAGAACATTCTTCCGAAGGGTGATTGAATGGAACGTCTTCGGCTCCTTCTGAGCCTCTTACAGCTTCCTCGAGTTCACCGGTGGTCCGTCGTCACACAATCTCAAGTTCTTTGGAAAATACTCGGAAATGCGCATATGTTTTCGCCTACAAATTGACTGAATTCTAGCATTTAAATCAGTTGATACAACATTAATGATTTATAAGTAACATGCCCACTGAGAAATTTGATATTTCTGGATGTGTTATGATTAAATAGAAATATCGAAGATCTGTCTAATGCTCCATAATTTTAAGTGATGCCTCAAACGTTATAGATCCATGACAAGCACTAATTCAGTCAGTCAGTTACAACAAAGGACCAGGAACATATATAATTATCGGTTCAAATTACAATACCTCATTAGCACAACAACACGAACACAGGATTAATAAAAGTAGCTAATTCAACAGTATTAATATATAAATGAAAGATTTTATGTAAGGATATAGTGCAGAAAGAAAGAATTAGTTGGTACAAAGAAAGATATGGAGCGATTTCAATCTCACAGTTTAAGGGTAGACAGAGTATGTATACACCCATACCATTGTGATCGATCGATTCTGAGTCATGTCACCCACAATCTCCAACCATTGGTTATGATAGTCACACGGACACCAACCAAGTAATCTGCATCGATCAACATGGCTCGGATTAGAATTTAGTGACTTCAAGGAGTGATGCCACGTTTTGATTTCGCCACCCCCAACTTTCTTCCAACCATCCTCAACACTAGTCAGCATTGCACGTTGTGGTAGTCGGTGTTCATGCATTCGTAACACGTGACTCAACCATCTCAGTCGATGAAGATTCATGATGTCATCAACTAATTTGCCATCATCATTTCCAAATACCCTGTATCTTTCTAACCTCACTATTACTTAGACGGTGGTACCAGCAGATGCAAACAATATTTCTAATGCATCTGTGGTCAAATACTAGTAACTTACGAGTATCTTCTACCCTTAATGGACACATTTAGCAGCCGTAATGTAGAACAAGACGAATTGCTGCGCAGCATATTTGTCTCTTAATTGGTAGACGGATATTTCGCCTTCATCATAGGTGACGTAATTTGGCAAAAGCCAAGCAAGGCTTATGAATCCGTGCTGAGATTTAGTCAGACGCCAACTAATTAGGTCTGATCAGACTTCCAAGATAAGTGAAATTGTCAGCATGTTCGACTACTTCACTTCCTATCCTTAATTCAGATGTTGATGCAGGTCAGTCAATGAAGATTCATGATGTCATCAACTAATTTACCATCATCATTTCCAAATATCCTGTATCTTTCTAACCTCACTATTACTTACCCGATGATTTCAGCACTAATTAATTTATCTTCATATCTAAATACTATAACATTGAAATATCTTCTATTCTTTTTAGCTTCATTTATTAAAGATGATAATGGAAATTCACAAAATAATTCACCTGATGATTTACAATCTACAACTTATGGTATGAATCCATCAATACAAACATTATCATCTACATCATCTATATCTAATCATTCATCTACACTTTTAATTGAATCTTATCATTGGAATAAATCAATACAAGGTGATCCAATGAAATATCTTGAAACAACTGGTACTAATTCTATATCATTATTATTATCATTTAGTCGATATTGTTATAAATTAATCATTTATGCACCATTAGGTTATGTTATCACTATTCTTGGACGTCAACGTTCATCAATTCATATCAATAATCAATTCATTAAATCATCTAATAAAAATATTCATCAATCAATCAATATATTATTTGATGATTATGATTATATCTTATTAAATGGGATTACAATCTGTCCATTATTAATTAAATATTATGCAAATCAATTGATTTATTGTATGTATAATGTTGGACAAGCTTTAGAAGTATTAGTACATTTAACTGAGATCTATGTATCTCACATGACTACCAACACCATCACCACCACGACCACCACTCATAGTAACAATAATAATAGTAGTATTATAATAAATAATACAGAATTGAATGAATTAGAATTTAAAGACAAATTTACAAATGCTATAAACAATTTAATTACTAAAGAAAATGAACTTAAACAATTATTATCTATATGGCCTAATCAAAAAGTAAGGAGATGTGTTTTACTTGTATCTTCTTATTGTTATTTAGGATTGGAATTGATCAATCTCTTCTTGGTATACATGTGCATCCTGTGCGTATTGCCTCAATATTGCCTTAATTCAAAAGCTTTTTGTAAGCAATGATGGATAGTGCCTAGTAGTGGAATCCAGTTTGATGCATGTTTCGTCCTATTTGGAATTGGTCAGCTGGATGTACCTGCATCTCAGAGAGTTGATGTTCACTCTGGGACTCGAACTCAGTGCTATTCGCTTCAAACGCTATCGCGTTATCTATTTAGCTACTGAGTCCTGATAGCCACTTACTTGTGCAATGGGGTGAATTTAAATTCATTTGGTATTATTTGGCTTGTATCTTTCCATTGAGGTTTAAGATTTCGATTGATCAATCTGTTATCGGCATATGTGCATACTGTGCGTATGCCTCGATATTACATTAATTAAGCTTTGACGGACGTTTCATCCTATTCGGGATTCATCAGCTGGATATATCTGTATCCCAGGGTTTGAAGCGAAAGGTACTTTGTTCGAATCCTGAAGTGAACATCAACTTTGGGGTTCAGGTACATCCAACCGATGAGTCCTAAATAAAGACGAAACGTGCCTCTCGGATTTCACTACTAGCCACTATCCATCTTTGATTGGATATATCTGTTTTCCTTTTTTTTAAAGATTTATTTATAATATTAGAATAGGGGGGTTTGTAAAGGATGATGTATGTGTTTAAAGTTAAATTCATCAGTTGATCTATACTAGATCATCATTGAAAACTTGGAAGTATTGAACGGGTGTTTCGTTCTAGTATGGGACTCTAACCTAGAGCCTTCGGTTTCGCGCGCAAATGTTTAAATTTTAGACCAATGATCCGGCCGGCATCCAATAGTGTTAATGTTGAATTCTAGTCGATCTACGAATTGTGCAACCTTTCATTAACTCATGAATTCAACTTTAAACATACTTTATTCTCCACAAACTCCTATTCTAATAATAATCAAGTGCTCACTACTGAATAGTTTTAACACGGATTTCCTGAAGTCCTAGTGAGAAGCCGTAACCAGTGAAGTTCAATCCATGTTGGATAGGAGAGGGTTATCCAACTTAGAAAATGGATGATGGGTTGCACAAGATCATGGATTGACTGAAATTAAACATTAACACCGTTGAATGTAAGTTTAGTGATCTAGAGGTCAAGCATCCTCTCATGATATCAAAAGTTCTAAGTTAGAATTACAGATGCAAGATCGTGGATGCGCACTTCTGAGGAGTCCCTATTCTGGAACACAACGGCCTTCCAGTGGTTAACTATCATTATGTCTATTAGTTTATTCGAACCGGCATCAATCAATTTACATTGTGTTTGGTTGTGATGAATTATGTACAATCGACTAGTACAAATGTATTCAAATTTTTTTATATTTTTACTTGTAAATTATTTTCCGATTCATCGTTTGGTGAGACTATAATTTATGGACAGCCTTTGAGTTTGATGGAGTTTTGTTCTCTGAGCTGGATGGTTTAATCGTGGAACTTTCATCGTTCTTCTGAACGACAGCATCAGCATAAACTTCAGATAGAAGTGTTCGAATTTCTCCTTATGCGTTTCACAGCTTGTTCTGTACACCTCGACGTTGATTGGTTCATATTGACCTTAAATTTATCATTGTTTACTTCTTTGTTTTGGTTGTGTCCTCCATTGGTTTGAGTTTTGTTCCTATATTTGTGCATAATTTTCCTGATTGGTTGATAAATTGGGTCAATATAAACGTGCTTGTTGATTGCTGATTGACCCGAGTGCCAGGCTTCTAAAATTTTGCTGGTGTTTTTGGAATTTCCTCTGCCTTTGAGTAACGCTAAAGTGACCTTAAGAGTGTAAACCTAGTAACTAGGACAAAATGAGGGTTATAAACCTGTGGGAGGAATTCGAATTATGGATTATAGTCAATGGTTAAGGTTAGGAATTAGATTTAGGGTTTTCATCAAGAATTGACATCAACTATAATGTCAAAACTTTATTTAACCAAATGGATGAGTGAATTTCGCTACAAAATCCGACACCTATTATCTTATACCTGATTGGTTCATCCATAAATTATAGTCTCGTCCTTAAGTTGTTTAGTATATATATATATATATATATATATATATATATATATATATATATATATATATATATATATATATATATATATATATATATATATATATATATATATATATATGAAAGATTTCCCTAGTTGAGATCATGAGTCAATTGAAGCTAGATCACTATGGAAAATCTGGAGGCACTGGACGACCGTTCCGTCTTATTATAAGACTCTTCAGCAGACATATGAGACTTGAAAAGAACAGAAATAGATTACATCATAAAGTGTTCATAACATTCAAATATCATAAGAAGGTTGTGTAGTGATCGAATAGTCAGAGAAGAACAAGAAGGATTTTTATCATGGTTTGTATTTATGAATTCAGAACATGATGAACATTTATTAGATAGAACATAATACGTTTAGATCATATTGTTATATCTCAACGAGAATACTGAATGGTAACTATTCGGATCTATTAATGGATTAATACTATACACATTGTCTTATTCTATAACTATTCAGTAACTAGATCATGTATATCTGTATTCCTGTTATTATACGCTTTATTTTGACTCAATGATCATTATTATTATACGATTTACCGTCCTTGAGTTATGCCCTGTCTATTTATTACAGTCTCCCACATTCACAGCCACTTTTGTCTAGATCTTGTATAAATGTTATTTTCCATTTTATAGTATGATGTAGTCTGTTTCGTTTGTATATAAACCCAGTATGTTTGAAATACATGATTCATATCATAGAGGCTGAGATTGATGTTTTGGACTTAATAGGCAGGGCTAGGTAGGAAGAATGACCGGTAAGAACTCTAGACTTCTCGTACGGGTTTATGCATCATTAATCCGGTTGATAAGTCACTATTTTTTAATTGACGGTATCATTACGTCATATATATTGATAGGGGAACAAGGCCACAAGGCTATAATCTGTAATCCAGTTTTAAAGATCGTTAAACTGGAATCTCTATTAGATTCCTCAGTAAATTGTTAGTTAAAGGTAGTGCACATCATGAATTGATACTAGCTAGACAACTATTGAAAATTAAAAGAACACTAGATGGATATCTTATCGAAATATTGTTGAGTCGGCTTTCCGAGAACTGCAGCAGAGCCTCTAGAGGCCCTAAAAGAGCCGAAGAGTCCTAGACAATCAGAGCATGATGGAGCTTTCTAGAACGCCAACGTGGCGTGCTACTATTGGTCAGTAGCATAATATGTCTTTTAGCGGATTGGCCAAAATATGATGTTGATTTAACAAATGTTAACATCTATAAATACCCATGTTTTCCTGTAAAAAAATGAACCTTTGGATTAAAGTGTTTTTTGCTTAATTTGCGCCTTTTCTTTCGTGTTCAGGTCTCTGCGTAGTTCTGGCTTGCGGGTTAATAGAATAGCTTAGGAACCGAATAAAGCGTTCAAATTAAGAAGATTTATCAGATATGAAACTTTTTAGTATACAGCCTAACAATCTAGGAGTAATACAATCTTCAATCGATTTGCGGATATTCAATTTGATCCCTAATAGTTTGTTGATGTCTATTACAAATAAAATTCTAAACTAGGATAAAGTAGGTGTTTGTAGTGTGGTGTCGAGTCGAGGTTAACTATGAGCACCACTACAAAAAGACTACGTGCCAGTTAATCGATAAAATCCCCCGTAAGCCAAATATCAGAAGGCAGTTGATGGCTGTAGTCAAGATGCATTTGTTGGCGATCTCGTGGTATCGAATGGATACCGAGATCGTGCCAAAGGAGTACAAGCGTGGTAAGCGAGCGTAATCCAACCCGTGCAAGGTCACAATCAATCGAAGTATAACGGAGCAGTAATATGGCTGTCTTTAGCACAGTTAAACAAACGAGCATAGTAAAACAATCACTGGTACAATTGGTTATAATAATGATTGTTTCCATTAAACCCATCGCGTACTACTTGGTACTCACAAATCTCATTCTATGTGTCATAATTATAATCCTAAGTATGATATACTTTTCTATTTAGATAATTAAACCAACTTTATTGTCAATACTACAACGTTTCACTGAAAATTCTGGAACATCCGATATGAATTATGCTTGGCGTATATTACAAACAGATTTTATTACAATCAATCCATTTCGAGTAGTTTATAGTCATGGTAATATGATGTAATAATTGTCTGTTTTGTTATTATTTCATTGATTAGCTCGTTTAGGTATATGTAATGATATGGAGTTCAACAAGTAGATTCATATTGATGACATTTAATTCATGAACCGATTGATGTTAGACAACCACTGAGAACCTGAAAGCACTGGAAGGCTGTTTCGTTCTATTGTGGGACTCCTCAGCGGTGTGTATCCACGACTTTGCACCTTGGGATTCAAACCCATGGCCTTCAGTCTAGCGCGCGAATGCTTAACCTTATCATTTTGAAAATGATGATGTCCTTACTAGCGGCCAAATTTAAGATAGATCTCTGAAGCTCTAGTTATCATCTATGATAGATAGAGTTCAATGATGTTGAAAGTGAGATAGATAACAACGATGGTAAAGGTTGTGAAGGTAGTTAATTTAAGTGAGTTTGGAGGTTGTAGGTGTTTACTACTGAGAAATCTCATACTAGTCTGAAACAACTTTCCACTATTCCTTGGTTTTAGAATGACTGGTAATGAAATATGATTTTACTTATTCAACATGAAGTTTAAAAGTTACATATTGACGATTAACTGTTTGTTGTTTTTTACAATAAAATTGGAGTATCTATATAAAAGCAAATTATTAGTGAGCACTAAAAATTACTGTCCCATACACACGGAAAAGTGCAGATGAAGACAACTAGTGAAGCAGAAGTCTCTGCATCAGCAGGCTTCAACATACTTATTTACTTACTTACGACTGTTACTCCACGTGGAGGAGCATAGGCCGCCAATCCACACTTTCCTGTCGTGAGCAGATCTCAACATATACAAGGGAAAAAGGAAGGTCCTCGAATACAACACGCGGAACACAAACCCAATCACATTTGATGGAGAAGCTCAGGAAGATGTGCAATCTTTCACGTATCTGGGGAGCATCATCACCAATGAACAAGGAGGATTTGATGCAGACGTAAAGGCGAGGATTAACAAAGCGAGGACAGCATTCCTACAGTTAAACAACATATGGAACTAAAAACAACTGTCAACCAAAATCAAAGACACATTCTTCAATACGAACGTCAAGACAGTCCTACTATGCGAAGCTGAAACATGGAGAACTACTACAACCATCATCAAAAAGATAAAAGTATTTCTAAACAGTTGTCTACGTAAGAAAGTAAATGTCCGTTGGTTGGATATCATCAACAACAACCTACTGTGTGAGAGAATAGACCAACCTCCGGTCGAGGCGGAAATTAGGGAAAGATGTTGGATGTGTATAGGACGCACATTGAGGAAATTATCAAACTGCATCCCGAGGTAAGCCCTGACTTGGAGTTCTGAAGGGAAACAAAAAGAGGAAGACCAAAGAAAATACTTAGTCGGGAGTTGGAAGCAGATATGAAAAGGATAAACAGGAACTGGAAAGTATTCTCAAGGACAGAGTTGAATGGAAAATATTGATGGTTGGCCTATACTCCTCGATCAGTGGTAACAGGCGTAAGTAAAATTACTTTTCTTTCAAATAGTTTTTTTTAGTCGAAGTAGATAACACTGTGGAGTCCGAAAGAAAAACGTAGAAACGGCTATGTTGTCTTTCCAGATTTTAAGTGACTTTCCAGAAAATATGACAGAAATTTAGTTGATATCCATAGTGTAGTAAACAAGAACACGCGTGGGGACAATCAAGTGTCATATACTACTTATGTGGATATAAGTAGCTCACATCACAATAGGAATTATATCTTTTTCTAAAGACTTTTTTAAAAAAAAATATTTCAGAAACGGTTTCAAATCCTGCTCCTTCAATTATAACAAAACAAAAATCAAAAGTGCTTAGTTCACGTAAGTATTGAATAGATTTATTATTCTTTCTGAAACATCATATTTCCCTTATTTATTTATTTAAACACATAAACATTGATAAAAGAAAGCATCAAGTAGATATGCGCCTCATAAATCATTCAATTTATGTGAATGCTGGGATACTTCCAGGGTGCCCAAACCAAAACAGGCACTTTTCTTAGGGGACCATACCTAGAGCCTTTGACCTAAAGGTCTAATCCACAAGACAATAGAGCAAAGTAATGAGATACAGTCTCATAGTAGTTGGTGACTGCCAATAGTTTCATACTCCATTTGTTTCCTCAAGATCTCGGAGCCCATGTATACCACTTGTTTGGAATCGGGGTTTTCCAACTTCCTTAGGTGAACCTCTCCTGTCCACCAACTCGTTTAAAGCACTATGATATTTGCTTTTTGTCCTCTCAATTTTGTAAACATTAGTAATGCAGTGAGAAGGCAGTGAGTAGGACGTCACTGACATTGGCTGTATACGTGTGACCATGTGAGAGCATTTGAGAGTGAGAGCTTAATCTCCTCACTCTCGGCCGCACTATGGAATTTGGAAGCAAACCACCGGGTTCAACGTGATTTTCATTAGCGGTTATCGGTAAAGCTGGATAAATGGCTGTGAATCGTTCTGATGTATATATTTAGACTCTTGACATGATCCAATGAGAGCTCGAGTTTGTTTGCACCTTTTCGGACATAGAGAAGTCAAAACAGTGAGACCCTCTCGAATTCAACTTAACAAAGAACAAGCTACAAGTATTTACTTCCAATTCTAACGGTCAAATCTTTTATCTGAGCGATAATAATGCTAAATATCAGAAGGGGTTTTGTGGAGATTTTAGGAATTTCAATAGTTGAAATCATGATTCAATTGAAGCCAGATCGCCATGGAAAACCTGAAAGCACTGGACTGTCGTTTCGTCCTAGTATGGGGTTTCTGGGTTTGAATCTCGCGAGGGGCGGGATCATGGGGGTGTACTGCTAAGGAGTCCTACAACAGGAGAAAACGGCCGTTCAGTGCTTCCAGATTTTCTATAGTGATCTAACTTCAAATGTTTCATGATTTCAACTACTGAAATGTTAAATATGTGTTTAAAGCTTCCTGCTGATAATCAACACTCACAAATTCAACATCTTTTACAATGATTGAATAAAGTATCATTTTAAACGTTCAGTTCTAGGGATTTGTTCATATTCAGTTTCAGATTTATACGCTTGATAGAAATTACTGCGGACTCGTATGCTATAGTTGAATAGGATTGGATCCAAACCTATCTAGCTTAAGGGAATAGTTACAAAGCATCATTTAGAAATTATTTTATAGATTCAGCTTAGTTGATCGAGGATCTGAGCTTTCGAATCTAAACTATGATCTATGTAATCAGAGATTAGTTGAGTAGAGTCAGTAATCATTGAAGATTCATTACGATTTTGTTGGGGATGCTAGAACACCAAGAACTAACTTGGTAAATGTCTTGCTTTTGTGATTTTATTTCTGGATTTCAGACCAAAAGCGCCCATTCTTACCTTCAAATTGTATTTTCTACTTGAAAGGATCCTAAATGTCATTGGTTCGTTGAACCTTTTAATGTGCGACTTTTCCCAAGGACATTTTTATGTGCGACATATTCGCCTAAGTTGTGTGCTTGTTATTGTTTGTACTTTTGACGGCTTTTGGAACGTACTATTTTTCATCTGAACCTGAAATTCTTACTCTAGTTAGTGAGGCTGGGGTGCATTGGAATAATTGATTGGTGTCCGTGTGACTATCATAACCAATGGTTGGAGATTGTGGGTGACATGACTCACAATCGATCGATCACAATGGTGTGGGTGTATACACTCTGTCTTTCCTTAAATTGTGAGACTGAAATCGTTTCATATCTTTCTTTGTACCAACTAATTCTTTCTTTCTGTACTATAACCTTATCTGCAATCTTTCTTTTATATAATACCATCATTGAGTTAACTACTCTTATGAATCTGGTGTTCGTGTTGTTGTGCTAATGAGGTATTGCAACTTGAACCGATACTTATATATGTTCCTGGTCTTTTGTTGTAGCTGACTGACTGACTTCGTCCTGTTCACCAATTTAGGTGATCTCTTAATGTCTTCAAATATAGCAGACTCATAACAGAGAAACATATTAATTTTTTACTACATTGCATTGGATTAACAATGAACGTTATATAGATGAATCAACTCGAATAGAAACGGTTGTGAAATGAAATCCTAGTAGTGATTACTACTACTACCACTACTAGTACTATTCACTCTACTATTACCGTGGTGTGTACTACTTATATTGACATAAGTAGTAGATGATGTTAGTCGTAAACAGAAGGTCTAGCAGCAGAGACACAAGAGGATTGAACAGTAAAGAATGGGAACAGAATGCAATTTGTATGAAAATGCAAGAACAATGAAGTCTGAGTGATTATGAGACAACTGATGGATATTTTGCTAAGTACGTATTTACTATTTGATTATTAGATTTTATTAACAAGTCCTGTAATTTTGTGTTAAACGCATTCGATTGTTCCCACTGGTGTTCTGTTTGCTACGTTTCTACTACATCTATCAAACATTTTTTCTTTCAATAGGTGGAGAGAAAACTAATCAGTCAGTTAAAATGTGAGTTGATTTTCATGTTTTGTATATAATCAATGTAATAAAAAATGATCCCAATTTGATGAGTGAATAAATGAAGTCGATATGATTCTTTGTTTAACTGTTATTTCATTTATTTATTTATATATTTAAACACATGAATATTGGTGCAAGGAGGCACCAAATAGATATGCGCCGCATGAATCATTCAATTTGTATGGGGGCTGAGATACTGCCCGGGTGCCCAAACCGAAACACGCACTTTTCTTAAGGGGGCCACAACCAGAGCCTTCGACATAAAGGTCCTATCCACAAGGCAGTGGAGCAACGTAAGGAGATGTAGTTCCAGAGTAGTTGATAATCAACAATAGTTTCATACACCATTTGTTTCCTTAGGATCCTGGAGCCCATCTACACCATTCGTTTCCATTCAGCGTTTTTCAACTCCCTTAGGTGGATTCTCCATATCCACCAACCTGGTTAAAGCGCCGAACATTAACTTTTCGTTCTCTCAATTTCGTAAACAACACTCCCACCGCGAGAATGCAGTGAGTAGGACTTCCCTGACGGTGGTTATATGCACGTGGCTATATGAGAGCATTTGGAGTGGGATAGCTTAACCTCTCCACTCTCGACCGTACCAGAGCATTTGGGGGCCATTGTTTCATATATTCTTGCATATCAATCATAACAATATGATAAATATCTTTTCATGAATTTCGACTTCAAGTCATTCAACACTATTATTGATAATGGTAACAATAAACTATAGGAGTAAATTTTAAACCTGATTGTAACTAGAATAGTATGATATTTATATGTGCTTTTAGTTTATTCCTAAAAACGCTAACTAATAATATATTACTTTTAACCCGTTGATGGCTATCTGTTCAGTGAATGATACGTTAGTATTTGACATGTAAATTATTGGACTTGAGGTTAAGTGTAAACATCAACCTTGAGGAGTTATAGCAGGTAAATACAACTGATAATCTCTAAATAGGATGAAATGCTCAATCGGGATTCTAATACTATTCACAAATTGTATACTTTAAAACAATCGTTTAGTTCAAATTAGACTATCCCACTTTTTCTTAACTGAAATGTTCTAAGTGATGAACATACCTATACATTTTATCCCTATGATAACTGTAAAATTGAGTCTCTCGGCACTTTTGTAACTGGATAAGCAACTATTAAATATAGGGGATTGTCGCTTTATATGTGCGTATCGACTCTGTTGAATTCACAGTCTTATTGCCTTGATAATCTTGATAATCTGGAACCACTGACATCCTTCCATCCACTCCAATTCCCACAACACAAAGTGAGAACACGAAAGATTGTTGTGATGAAGATTTACTGACTCTTTGAAAACCCGTCTCCAAAGAAATTTCAAAATCACATCATCTTTAGACTATAATACAATCATTTATATAACAACTTTATAGTACATAAATTGGGAAGTAATTACAGTTACTGTAAAAACGCATATAATAAATGTAGTTTACCTGAATTATCAGAGGGAATACAGTTGTCACTATGGACGAGAGTTCACACTTGTCATGTAGAACAAAGTTTATACTGAATTGGTATAAAAAACGTTTTTGATTCAGATCATGAACTGATTGATGTTAGACCACCACTGAAAACCTGGAAGCACTGGAAGGCTGTTTCGTCCTATTGTGGGACCCCTTAGCAGAGCGCATCCACGATCCTCCTCGCGGGTTCGAACCCGGGGCCTTTAGTTTCACGCACGAACTCTTAACCTCTTGACCACTGAGTTGGCCGGCATCCGATGGCGTTAATGTCCAACTTGAACAAATCTACGAAATCGCGCGATCATCTTCCATTGTAATGAGCTAGATACCTGTCTCTATCCAACACGGACTAGCTCCACTGGTCATAGCTTCTCACTAGAACTCCTAGAATTCCCTCGCGAAGCTAGTCACTAGTGAGGAGGAAAAAGGATTGACCTTAAAATGTCACCTTAAACGTAGTTCAAACTCTGACCAACGTTCATAATGGATTGATAATATATATTGCCCTAACAAATTTCATCTCCTTATCATCCCTTTCTCATCAAGTGTATATATTACTTATATGACTCCATGACCTACGAATTTAGCACTATTCCTTATGATTAATCACATGATATTCTCTTGTTTTAGTCGAAACTTTGTTTGTATAAGAACTGATTCAATGTACTGACTGAAGATCTTGAATTTATGTATGATAACCTATCTATATTTATCCACTAATAATTCACTATCATTTATGGACAACCTTTGAGCGACGCCAGACTGACTATGAGAGTGTGCACCTAATAACTAGGATCAAATAAAGGTTATAAACCAGTGTGAAGTATTAGAATTATGATTCACAATTGATGGGGGGGGGTTGTTGTTCATCACGAACTGACATCAGCTATGATATCAGAACTCTATTTAACGAATTAAATGAATGAATTTTGCTCTAACCCTCGAAACCCAATGAACTTATACCTGATTAGTCCATCGTTTGCCCCCAAATGCCCTGGTGCAGCCGAGAGTGGGGAGAGTCCGCTCTCCCATTCGAAATGCTCTCACATGGTCACGCGTATATAGCCTCTGCCAAAGAAGTCCTACTCACTGCCTTCTAGTGGCGGAGGTGTTGTTAACGAAATTGAGAGGACGAAAAGCGAGTGTCCAGTGCTTTAACCGGATTCCAAACCAATGGTGCACATGGGCTCCAGTATCCTGAAGGAACAAATGGCGTATGAACCAATTTTTGGTCACCGGTTAGCATGAGACTGCATCTCTTTAAGATGATCCTTTGCCTTGTGGATCAGACCTTCAAGTCATAGGCTCGGGGTGTGGCCCCCTAATAAAACCACCCGCTTCTGTTAGGGCACCTGGGCAGTATCACAGCCCTCATACATATCGAATGAGATTTGTGTGGCGCATATGTTCATCCTTCAATTATAGTTTTACCAATAACTCTTCTTTTTTTTCTTATTCCATCGATTTACTTTGGTTTATAGTAATCCAATTGAAGAAACAATTATTAATCGTTGGAATCAACCAATCATTAATCCTGATCTATTAATTGCTATAGTACGTATACAATCATTCTATCGTGGTTGTCGTATTCGAAATACAATACGTTTAAGTCAAACCAAATATCTAATAGAAACTTTATTATCTATCATCAATTCACAGAATAAATCAAATATAGATAATAATCATTTGATGCATAAGCGATCATTATTAAGAATTAAACGTTTATCAATTGGTTGGATGTCTTGTTTAAATATATTACAACAAGGTCATTTACAATGTGAGGCGGGAAATCAATTAATTGAAAACTTAATTCTTACTAATTCCAAAACTACTACTGATAATAATAATAATAGTAGTATACAAAATAAATTATATAAAGATATGAATTCTTATTTAAGTATTAAAGAATATTCTGGTAACTATGGTGATATACCATCACCATGTCCAATGCATCATACAGGATCAGAATTACGTCATATGAATCAATTACATAATTCATTACATAAAGATTGGATTCATTTATTATTTCGTGATTGTATTTATTCATCAAAATGTTTAAAAAATGAAAGCATAATAATCAATGATGAAGAAGAAATTCAATATTCATTTCGTTTAAAAACTACTATACCGGATAGTTATATCCTATTGATCAATAATGATAATGGTAAGTTTACAAATACGTACAATAAGTAACTATTTATGAGTAGTATATAGTTATGGATGAGCCAATCAGAAGTGTCTGAGAGATTTCAAGGTTACGGTGCCAATTCCACTACCTGATGTTAACGTAAAATCGGTTCATACAAAACGTGATAATTGAGGAGCTATAAAAAATAAAATGGCGAGACTATGATTTATATTGGTGCTAAAGTCATTTATCTATTTGGCTAAATAAAGTTTTGTCTGATAAGTCTTGCGGATTAACGCTATATTCGTTTCCTAAGCTATTCTGTAACGCCCACGCTAGAACTATACAGCGACCAGAACACGAGAGAGAAGACGCAAAGTATGCGAGAAGTACTTTACTCCAATATTCATTTTTGTACCGAAAACACGGGTATTGATAGATGTTAACATTTGTTAAATCAAGATTATGTTTTGGCCAATCCTCTAAAAGACATATTATTCTACTGACCAATAGCAGCACGCCAAGTTGGCATTCTAGAAAGCTCCATCATGCTCTGATTAGCCAGGACTCTTCGGCTCCTTTAGGGCCTCTGGAGGCTCCGTTGCAGTTCTCGGAAAGCCGACTCAACATTATCATTATAGCTGATGTCAGTTCATGATGAAAACCTCATATATATATATAATTCCTAACCAAGGCAAATTATGACAATTATTGCGAACTGGATAATAAAAGCAACAGTAACACTGGCTGCAGGCAGTTTCTAAAATATATACGGATGGTTGGAGAGCGTACAGACTCCTACATAGGCTTGGTTATGTGCATCATGTCGTTATCCATAAGTGGCATTTTGTGCAATCAACAACCGGAGTGCACATAAACAATATTGAAACTATGTGGTGGAGGCTGAGAGAGTTTTTGAGACTTTATCATGGCTCCAGAGGCCGATTATTCTGTAGCCGTATGGATGATTTCCTCTACTGTATGCATTACGATATTAGAACCTTTGAACCTCTTTCTAACCTTGACAAGTTTCTGAACCATGTACATGAAGTGTATCCACTTTATTTCTTTGGTTTTCGTATAACATATTTTTACTCTATACTGACTGTTTGTTGATTGACTAATAGTTCTCAAGGTCGCTTAAGTTTCGTTCAAAGGTCGTCCATAAATTATAGTCTCGCCTAGTTATCTTATGTAATTTATTTCATTGTTTAATTAAATACCAGATCTATTTAAGTAGTTCGTACAAGACAAGAATGTTTACCTTGAATATGTTCTTACTGATATGGTTTATTCGACTGTGGGACTCCTCAGCAGTGCGCATCCACGACCTCTCCTTCTGCGAGATTCGAACCCAGGTTTTCCATGGTGGTCTAGCTTCAACTGACTCATGATCTTAACCATTAAAATTACTATAATATCCACAAAACCCATCTCATATGGTTTAGTTGAGAGTTTACTGTAATCAAAAGAGTAACGTAAAAATTGTTTTATTAAACTATCCTACAGACTATCTATATCAAATGAATTATACATGACAGGTTATGAATAAGTGAATTTTTCTAGTTATTTAGTCATGGTCAGTATTCATATATTTCCATTAGTCGGATAACCTCTGAAGATGTTGATGAACTGTTAACACTATCACCACATTTTTGGTAATAAAGCTCTACCACGTAGTCTTGGTTTTTGATCTCTATATATTTAGTTATAGTAAATGAACTGGGTGTAACACAACAAAACACGAGAAACATACTTCAAATGTTCTAATTGTAAATGGAAATTAGATAATTTGTTTAGTTGAGTACAAATATTATCTGATAAGAGCCACTCACAGCACACTGATGAAATGAAGTTCATTAACCCTTAATATATCGCTTCAGAACGATAGATATCTGTTATATCTAGAGCTTAGGTTCCTAATATACAGCCTATAACTCGAGTACTCGGACCCTTTCAAGTTTCAAATGAGAAGACACAAGACAAGTGAAAGGAATGTTATCCCAAACAATGTCAATTATGGTACAAAACTGCCAGGTATTTATAGTTTTTAGTAAAAACGAAATCATCATTATAGTTATCCAATCCATACACAGGAGAGTTATTAGCATTTGTCCAATAAAGAAGCTACACGTAGGGATTCTGAAATATTCTTCCATAAGCTGATTGGATGGGATATCTTCTGCTGTTTCTGAGCTTCTTAGAGCTTCCTCGAGTTCACCAGTGGATCATCCTCACAATATCCTAAGTTACAAATTAGGGTAACAACATGTGTTTACAAAATAAGGAGTAGATTTTAAGTAGTTTGATGAATAATATTCAAGATTTTAGAGTAATAAATGTTCAGTTGAATATTATGACTGGCACCAATGCAAATCCAGTTCTAACCTGTTAACTGATAAAAGTCTGGATAAAATATAGGTCAAGCATCCCACAGCCAGCTACTCTATAAGAAACAGCTAGTCTACTGGATAAATTTAAAAAGTCAATTTTACTTGAAGATAGGATTCGACACTGAAAACAAATAGATTAAAAGATCACTGAAAACCAGGGGACACAGGTAAATAGTTTTATTCATATTCATGACTATCGAGTCACCTAGCGTTATCTAATTTTCAGGGATTCTGATACATCTTATATTCGAGTGATTTCGCACAAATTTCCTTATTATTTCCTGCTCCCCAAAAGTCTTATACTCTTGAACGACGAACGGATAGTAAATATGAAAGAAGTTTAACTTTGGAGCTTAGTTTATGTACAGAGTTGGGCAAATGTAAGTACTCGAGCAGCTTTCACGCTGTGAAACATCGGATCTAATTCCTGCTTGATGATGTAGTGAACACTTACTTTAGCGTTTTTTTAGAGGGTTAGTTTTCTACGGGATGGGGTCGCTAACCCCATGCCCCACCCTCTCCCTTTATCCGGGCTTGGGACCGGCAGTAACCCCCGGAGGGACTCCAGGCGGAGTGAACACAGTACAAGGATATTAATGTAATTAGATGTGAGATTTTAAAAAACATGCTGAAAGTGGTAGTTGTCCACTCAGGACAACGAAAAAGTAACGTCTTTCTCTGAATTCTCTCAGTTGTTTCTAAAAAACTCTGATTATTCGAAGTAATTTCAGTATTTATCTTAGTTCTTATAATTTTCAAGTGAATTGTATATATACGCATGAGTTGCGTTCTTCCGGGCTCCTTGTGAAGTACATATTTTTCCGACTGGGGCTTGCCTTCTCTTTTTAGTTAACAGGGCTAAGGTACAGGTAAATAGCCTAGCTTGTCCTGTTGTTTTCTTGCTGTCTTTCGTTCCGTTTGCTGATCCTAGGTGATATCTTAATCCCTTGAACATAGAACCAATAAATGACCATTTTCAACGGAGTGAAATCGGAAATATGAAGTGTTGGATTCTGAATCGGTAGTTTAACACTATCATGTACACTGTTGGATAACGAATTGAACTATGATTATGTATTACTCAAAATGATGAAATAAATGTGATACATAAAGTTGTATAGTTTTCTAAAGCTTTTTATCTCATATCAATCAGTGATATTGATCTGTAGTTATGAATGTAAAATATGATTGTTCATTGAGGGTGAACGAATAGGCACTTGACCTATGAACTAGAAAATATGTGATTTCCTTTCCTCTCCTTGATTTATACATCGGACTCATGGAGAGTGATCACTTGTAACTTCATTGTGAAACATGTCCTGTAAGAGTAGACGATATTCGTAGGTTACTAGTATCCGATCATAGGTGTCTTCGAATCATTGATCGTATATCCTGAAGCAACTGAGTAAGTAATCCAGTTGTTAAGAAACGGGTACTAGATAAGGGTGGCAAATCAATTGATGAAGTAGTGAAACTTCATCAGTTGAGATGACTGGGATACGTGTTACGTATGCCCAAACACCAACCGCCTCGAACAGCAATGTTTTACGGTGTAGGAGTAGGTTGGAAGAAGACTAGGGGCGGCCAGAACAAAACATGGCACGAATTCATGAAGTCACTGACAAGTGGACTGAGCCATATTGTTAGGTGTAGACTACCTGATTGGGATCCGGGGAACAATAGTAAGTGGTTGTTAGAGACCTTGAATGACATGACTCAAGATCATTTGAAGTGGTGTGCGCAAGGTGCATTCACTCTTTGTGTTCTCCCGAATTCTAATCTTCTAAATTCTTCATATCCCTTTTTTTCTTTCTAAATTTCTTTCACTGTATTATACTCATTGAATAACATTTTCAAACCTCAATCTTTCCGATTACTTCTTATACTTTTACTAATTCTACCACTGGGAAGCATCATCGATGAACAAGGAGGCTCAGATGCAGACGTAAAGGCGAGGATCGGCAAAGCAAGGGTCGCATTCCTACAATTGAAGAACATATGGAACTCAAAGCAACTTTCAACCAATATCAAAGTGAGAATCTTCAATACGAATGTCAAGGCAGTTCTACTGTATGGAGCTGAAACTTGGAGAACTAGAACAACCACAATCAAGAAAGTACAAGTATTCATAAATAATTGTCTTCGCAAGATACTCAACATCCATTGACCGGATACCATCAGCAACAGCCTTCTGTGGGAGAGAACAAACCAACTTCCAGCTGAAGAAGAAATTAGGAAAAGACGATGGAAATGGATAGGACATACATTACGCAAATCGTCAAACTGCATCACGAGGCAAGCCCTAACTTGGAATCCTGAAGGGAAGCGAAAAAGAGGAAGGCCAAAGAACACATTGCGTCGGATAATAGAAGCAGATATGAAAACGATGAATTACAACTGGACGGAGCTAGAAAGGATTGCCCAGGACAGGGTTGTATGGAGAACGCTGGTGAGCGGCCTATGCTCCTTCACGAGGAGTAACAGGCGTAAGTAAGTAAGTAAGTAAGTATTTCTACCACTATAGGATTTGGATGGACAATTGTATGTGTGTGCTGATGTGGTATAAGCAACTTGAACTGATGTACATACGTACAAAATTTACTTTGTTATGACTAACTGATTGAATCTGGTTGTTTATTCTGGATTGTAAATCCTGGATATGATATGAAGTG